GGTATGGTCAACCCTAAACGGCTGCTATACCCCAAACATAGGTATATGTAGAGAAACTGTGGATATCTGCCACGTGCGCAAATAAATGAGGGGTAAGCCACAGCCCACAAATGTAGCAGTGACCTCAACGCGCAGACCTTTGGTGCCCTTTACCTACGCGCTCGTTTGTAAAACCTTCCTAAATATATAGCTTTGTTTGAGTCCTATCTCGTTAAAATTTCTTTGGAATTACAATTCTCTTTGATATTGCTAATTCAAAGAAAGATATAACTGTTAAAAATAAAAAAAATACATATCATGATCAAGTTGTAGAATTGAGCACATCATAAATCAACAGTGCATATTCCTGATATAATTGCACTTTATGAATAATAAAAAAATATACTGTTGGGGTAGTTAGTCAGTTAATTTTGTGGTTATACCTAACACCTACAATCAATACCTACCACGTGCGCTGTAGCATGGTACGGGTGACAGTTATTAATGTTTCGTTTCACTCTTAAAAGTTGCCGCGATTTACAAATTATGACTTAGTATTTCAGCTGTACCACATTTGTAATGTATTAAATCGTGGTAATATTATAAATGTAAAATTAGTAACTGTCACCCGCATCATGCTACAGTATAAATATTTAGTCATTTTCTATTTCTGAGACATCGATAAAAACCAAATTATTTTGAGAGACCGGAGTTGACTTGCTCCTAACTAGGTTACATTCAAACATACTAACTATATATACGAGTACTAGTTCTCGACAAAATATGTTTGCTATGTGTAGTGGGTATGTTGTACATTCACATATAACTATTATTGTAGAACTTGAAGGTAGGTCTATTAGTTAAATACATCAGTTGTCATCCAAACGTTTGATTCGATACACATACAACATGGTGTCAGGTGTGAAAACTAATTTTAGTAAAGTTAAAAAATATTAATATTGTTTTGCTTATGGTCATCTTGTGTGAATAATGACAAGTGAAAAGATGAGTTCAAGGCACGATGATAGCGTATTTACGGCGATACAACAACCGTCACCGATGCAACAAGACGGGAATATGGCGACCAATTGGCGTGAATGGAAAATGGCATTCGATTGTTTCTTAATTGCTTCTGGAAAAGAATCCGCTTCGTCAAAGGAGAAGTGTGCACTTTTCATGCATGTTATTGGAAAATATGGAAGAGAAATTTTTGAAGAACTAGATATACCGGATATTGAATTTGATTATGAAAAATTATGCATTACATTTTGTGAACACTGCGACCCAAAGAAAAATGTTAATTACGAACGGCACATATTTTTCGAAACATATCAAGCTGAAGATAATTTTGATAAATTTATTGGTGCCTTAAAAATAAAAAGAAAGAATTGTGAGTTTGGATTATTAAAAAACAGTTTAATATTAACTCAGTTGATACGTGGAATTAAAGATGCTCAAATGAGAGAAAAACTGTTGGCAAAATCATCGATGTCCTTGGATGAGGCAATACAGTGGTGTCGTGCAGTGGAACGTGCTACTGAACAGGCAGCGGCGTGTTGCAGTCGACAACCGAACATCAGTGTGGAGCAGATGACGAGGCAAACGAGGACTACACCAGTGGTACAACCCAGGTGCTAATGCCAGGACTCGCGGCGGTGATGGTGCTGGCTACGTCGGGGAGGCACGCATTTGGACTACAACCGTAGTGGCGCAGCGGTGACAACGGAGCGGCTGGCCGCGGCCGGTATACAGGTTCACCTGTATGTACTAAATCTAATTTACTGCACAAGGTTAGTGATCGCTGTCCGGCTTTTTCAATGAGATGTTATCGTTGTGATAAAATCGGTCATTTCGCGAAATGTTGTAAAATAAAATTTACACATGAAGTGACAGAAGTAACTGACACCCCTGAGTACAAAGAGAATAATGAGTTGTTATTGTATAATATTAGTATAGACACTTTGTGTAAACAGTACGAGTCGTGGTATGAAAATGTTATAGTGAATGGTGTAAACTTACACTTTAAATTAAATAGTGGCGCCGATGCGTCTGTCATGTCTTTATTTTCTTATAATAATGCAGGATTTAAGGAATGTCAACTTAGTAAGTGTTGAATATATCTATGGCCATACCATAAATATTTTTTTTTTTCCCATATTCGTCCATCTCCTTTTCCATACCATAAATAAAGAAAAGTAAGGCGATGACAGGTGAACTGTCAAAATAGCGAGCGAAGAAAAGTCATTCAGAAAGTGATAGACACGTGCTCAAATGATTCATATATCTATAATTAATATTGTTAGTTGATTAAGATTCTATAAATAAACATTTTATTAATACAGAAGGCTTTGATTTAAAACATGGTGGCAGCGGAAATTTGAGCACAATGGACACATCTCTAGCAAATATAGTTGAACAACAAACTGTGCTCTTGAGGTCTATGCAGGAACAAATCGCAAGACTCATACAAAATCCGCAACCGGGACCGGCGCAAAATATAAATGTACCATGGCCATCACCAATAAAAACAAATATAGATCCTGAAGATGCATTCAAAACTTTTTATTCGTCATGGAAAAACTATTGTCGCGCTACACAAATGGAGGAATGGTCGGCCGACCAAGAACCAAGAAAAGTTAGTATATTATTTAGTGCCATAGGTGAGGAAGCTTTAAAAAAATATGGTAATTTCGGAATTACAGACATAGACAAACAAACAAAAACGGCTGAAGATATACTACATAGCATAAGCTCAAAAATGGTACCTAAAAAAAACATCATATACAATAGATATATATTTTTAAGCAGAGAACAAATGCAGTATGAAAATTTTGAAGTATTCCATGCAGATTTATTAAAATTAATTGAAGATTGCGACTATAAAACATTTAAAGAGGAAATGTTAAGAGATAAAATTGTTTTAGGATTAAGAGACATATCATTAAAAAAAGAATTGTTAAAGAGAGATAACTTAACATTAAAAGAAACTATAAACTTATGCCGTGCAGCTGAAGCCACTGATAGACAAATGAAAGATCTGTCTGTGTCATCTACTTCAGAAATTAAAAAAGTAGAAGAAAAAAAGATTAAAAAAGGCAAATGTAAATTTTGTGGAAATATTCATATATATAAAAAGGAATTATGCCCAGCCTGGGGCAAACAATGTGAAAATTGTAAGGGCAGAAACCATTTGGATAAAGTGTGTAAAAAAAAGAAATCAATAAAGATGGTGAAGAATGTGACTGACAATGATATCAGTGATCTGACTGATTCGGATACAGATATTGAGTATATTATTAATAAAATTACAAATAATACACATAAAAGTGCAACAAAATGTGTACTAAATTATTTAGTCAATAATAAATGGAAAACAACAGAATGCCTCCTGGATACAGCTGCTGATGAGTGTCTTATTGGTCTTCAAAATGCCCAACAAATGTTTGGCAAAGACTATATTAAACAAAAGATACGACCAACTAAGAAACATCTGTTCAGTTTTGGTGGACACCATATTACTGTGCATGGGGAAATAGATATTATGCTAAAAACACAAACTAATAAAAACAATTACTCTCTAACATTCCAAGTTGTAGAAGATAATCATATTCCTCTATTGTCATGTAAGGCTTGCATCCACATGGGCATTGTAAAATTTTGCAAGGAAGTTATAAGTCACTCCCATGACATAGAAGAAACAAACAAAATATTAAATATATATGGATCACTATTTGAAGGCAGAGGGAGTTTTTCAGGTGAAATTGATCTAGAAATTGATCATGCAGTACCACCAGTAATTCAGAAGGCTCGACGTGTCCCTATAGCACTGCGACCAATGTTGAAGGAGGAATTGAGAAGATTAGAGGAGGAGGGTGTAATCACTAAAGAAGATAATCACACAGAGTGGGTAAGCAATATTTTAATCATTAAAAAGAAAGACAATTTTAGAATATGCCTAGATCCCATTCCATTGAATAGGGCTATACAAAGACCTAATTATCAGTTCACTACAATTGAAGAAATATTACCAGAACTAGGAAAAGCTAAAGTGTTCTCTACCTTAGACATTAAAAAGGGATTTTGGCATTTAAAGCTATCTGAAAAAAGCAGCAGGCTTACTACATTCTGGACTCCCTTCGGTAAGTACCGTTGGAAGGTTCTCCCCTTTGGTATTGCTTCAGCACCAGATCATTTTCAAATAAAAATGAGTGAAATGATTCAAGGATTAAATGGAGTAGAAGCGCTAGTAGATGACTTGCTTGTGTATGGAGTTGGAGATACAATGGCTGAAGCTATCATAGATCATAATAAAAACTTGAAACAGTTATTTGACAGATTAGTTAAATTCAATTGTAAACTAAACAAAGCTAAAACCAAACTTCTTCAGACATCTGTAAAATATTATGGTCATATATTCACTAATAAAGGTCTTCAACCAGATCCATCTAAAATTGAATCAATCACAAACATACCAATACCAAAAAACAAAAAAGAGTTACAAAGGTTTCTGGGTGTTGTGACATATCTTAGTAGATTTATCCCTAATCTGAGTGGTGAATCATTATATCTAAGACACTTGACACATGAAAAAACAATTTGGATATGGCATAAAAAAGCCCAAAAAGAGTTTGACAAACTGAAGTCTATAATATGTAACTTAAAAACATTGAAATATTATAACAAAAATGAACCACTTGTCATTGAATGTGATTCCAGTGAAGGAGCTCTGGGTGTGGCATTGTTCCAGCAAAATCAACCAGTTGCATATGCATCACGATGTTTGACACCCACTGAAAGGAAATATGCACAAATTGAAAAGGAACTCCTCGCAGTGGTTTTCGCCTGCACAAGGTTTGATCAGTTAGTTATTGGCAACAAAAAAACAATTATTAAGACAGATCATAAACCATTATTAAACATTTTCAAAAGTCTCTTCTTCATGCTCCAAAAAGACTTCAATCAATGCTTTTAATGTTACAAAGATATAGTCTAGAACTGCAATTTGTATCAAAGAAAACATTATGGCAGATGCATTATCTCGATTTTATTTAGATTGTAAAGATATTGATAAATCAAAAAATATGAAAATATTTAAAATTATAGCAAAAATAAATCCTTTGGAAAACTTACCCATATCAGACAGCTGTGTTCAAGAAATTGAGAATGCAACATTGAACGATCATAACATGACAGTCCTAAAGAAGTATTTATTACAGGGATGGCCAAAATATTTGAAAGATATTCCCGATGCTATTAAATCATTCTACAACTTAAAAAGTGAGTTAACTCTTTACCACGGTCTTATATTAAAAAACCAGGCTATAGTGATACCTGAAAGTTTAAGAGAAAAAATGTTAAATAAACTGCATAAGGCACATTCAGGAATCGAAAATACCCTAAAGCTAGCCCGAGAAGCAATTTTTTGGCCATCTATGTCCAATGACATTAAGGACCTAATTAAAGGTTGCACATCATGTATAAAACATCAACCAAGTCAACAAAAATTTACTATGCAAAGTCACAAAATACCTGAATATCCATTCCAAATAATATCTATGGATGTTTTCTTCTTCAATGAAAATGGAAAACAGTCAAAATATTTAATAACGGTTGATCACTACTCGGATTTTTTTGAAATTGATAAGCTTAAAGATTTATCATCTAAACCAGTAATAGAAGCCTGTAAAAGAAATTTTTCACGTCACGGTGTGCCAGAAATAGTAATTACGGACGGTGGAACTAATTTCATCAATCAAGAATTTTCAGCTTTTAGTAAAAAATGGAATTTTATACAAGTAACATCTTCTCCCCATCACCCTCAAGGAAATGGTAAAGCTGAAGCAACAGTGAAAATAGCAAAAAAACTGCTATTGAAAGCTACAGAAAGCGGAGAAGATTTCTGGTCAAGTCTACATTGCTTAAGAAATACTCCTAACAAAATAAACTCTAGTCCTGTACAAAGATTATTTTCACGTAGAACAAGAGGTTTTTTACCAGTTATTAAAGATTTGCTAAAACCAAATGTAATCAAAAATGTAGCAGAAACTATTAAGAGTAACAAGGAAATGATCAAATACTCTCATGATAAAAAAGCAAAAAAAGCAACTACATTAGAAATAGGACAACCCGTAGTAGTTCAGATTCAACCATCTTCAAATAAATCTTGGACTCCAGGAATAATTGCAGATATTATTTCAGATCGATCATATCTTGTTGATATAAATGGGACAACTTACAGAAGAGACTTAATACACATACGTCCATTTTTACCAAATTCATTAGATAAACCCCATAAGCAAGATATCACTGATATGACTACAAATATTCAAGAAAATATCATTTTAGAAGACGTGCAAAACATTGGCGAAAATATCGTTTCTTCAGAAGCTATGGTGCTTTCATCACCAGTTGCTGATCCTTCAATAGATTACTTTAGTTCTCAAGATGAATTGTTGTCTCCTCAACCAACGACCAATTCTCCTATAAAGAAAACAACTACCCCTGCAGACAACAAACCAAGCAGACCTAAAAGAGAAACAAGAAAACCAACATATCTAAATGAATATGTTTGCTAGCCTTTTAATCAGTTATCCTTATGTAGAGGGTAAAGTTTAAATGCTTATTTTTAAGTTATATTGTCTAATATTGTAAATTTGTAATACTTCTATTCAGTTGGAATATTTTACTCAGTTTTGTTGCTGCATCGTAATAGTTCTTTATTTTTGTAAAAAGACAACGTGTTGAATATATCTATGGCCATACCATAAATAAAGAAAAGTAAGGCGATGACAGGTGAACTGTCAAAATAGCGAGCGAAGAAAAGTCATTCAGAAAGTGATAGACACGTGCTCAAATGATTCATATATCTATAATTAATATTGTTAGTTGATTAAGATTCTATAAATAAACATTTTATTAATACAGAAGGCTTTGATTTAAAACAGTAAGTGTGCCACAGTATTAAGAGAAATAAGCAAAAATAAATTGCCCGTGATTGGTTACTTCGATGCTATGATACAATATAAACAACGTTTGGATGACAACTGATTTATTTAACTAATAGACCTACCTTCAAGTTCTACAATAATAGTTATATGTGAATGTACAACATACCCACTACATCTTCCCTCTACAATAATAAAGTTATATTCACTAGACGCGAGTAAGGTCACCCGAACGATTTGTTTGTCAATAGAAATATACAAGATGCTAATAATAAGTAATAATACATACATATACCTTCAACATATTAGGTAGCCCTAATTATGAATACTGATTCATCTGTGTGCATACAGTATATTATCGTATAATAAAACAAAAAAAAAGGAAAGCAAGTGTTGATTATAATGTGTTGCATGCATCAATTCAAATTAATTAAATTCATACATATTGTTATTTCATCAATGCTTAGTCTAATATTATAGTTATACTACAGCTCATTGTTTACAGTTGATTCTAAAACATGTTTAATAACTATTTGATTTTAAAATAATAAGATTGTAATAAAAATATGGGATAGTTAATAGTTTGTATGTTTTATAAATATTTGTAGCCACACTGTATACAGTGTACTCCTAATTTACATAAAAAAAAAAGATGTCTAGTGAATATAAATTTATTATTGTAGAGGGAAGTTGTAGTGGGTATGTTGTACATTCACAAATAACTATTATTGTAGAACTTGAAGATAGGTCTATTAGTTAAATATATCAGTTGTCATCCAAACGTTGTTTGATTCGATACACATACAACACTATGTATTTGCTAATTACAAAAAAAAATGTATTTATATCAGTTGTCTAGTACCCATAACACAAGCAACTCTGATTATCTTGGGACTAGACGCTGTGTTAATTTCCAGTTGGTATTATTATTAAATATTATTATTGTTAATATTATGATTATTATTAAATGTGGTTTCATTAGTATGTCGACAGTTGGCAATGCTTTAGACTATCTTATATTGAATAATAATCGTAAAGGGTGGGGTAGGAAATTGTTAGTAGGTACTGGGAACTGGTCGCCCCATTAATAGCAATATACTATATCAGGTTAACCTCCGCGGGTGGCCATCCACGAAGCCTTGTGGTTAATTCTTGATAAATTTATTATGAAGAGCAAACTCATCTGACTTCATTCTAAAACAAAATATCTTTCACTGGTAACAACCCACGTAGGTAGGTATTATTACAGATAGCACAAGCGGGCGCACCATGTCATCATAAAAAACAGACGTTAAGATACCTATATATTTTTTTTATATTATAATTTCATACTTGCATAGTCTATTGTACAACTTTTTAAATCAGCTGAATGTTTTTATTGATTGTAAACTACAGTATAATATAATTAATTATAGCTAATTTCGAGTCTATTTATAAAAAAATTTGGATTAATGTCAACGTTGTTAATTACCTTGTTAAGATAATGGACTAGTAAAGTACATTATAATGATTTAATAAACTTGGCTATCTAATTACATTCTCAAATTCTTGATACTGGTAATAGGTGGAGATCGATGAATACTTGATTCGTGTTAAGTATAAGTACGTATCTATGTATACCTAACTATCTCAAACTTGTTCATGTTTACTTATAGGTGACGCCTGTCGCATAGTGGTATCAAACATGATACCACTTATCAGTGTATTTTAGTGGTTCGTGACATTCAAACATTCGTTATTGACGGCTCGAGTGTTTAATTTTTACAGCCTCAATAACATGAATTCATCAGAGAAATATAATTGTGTCATACAAACATTAGATGGACCAGTTCGTGGTTTTATGGACGATACAGATGAACAAATTTGTTATAAATTTAAAGGGATACCGTACGGAAAACCTCCTCTAGGGTCATTACGATTTCTGGTAAGTCGATTTATTTATAAATTGTATTTAAAATATTTATCAAAGAAATTAATGCGCTTGCCTAGTTACACTTAAATGATTAGTTTTCATTTAAACCAATACATACGTTTGGGTTAGTTATTAGGTATTTTCAGACTAACAGATGACTATATAAATCATACTATCGTTCTATTTTATCGCATCTGATATAGCTAATCATGTAAATATAATTTAATACATTACCGATAGACTTCTTGAATAGTATAACGTGCGCCTCTATTTAAAATTTGCATAATTTTTATAGTTTATCGTCATGACATGACATATTTTTTTACGTTTATTTATTTGAAAACTTAAATAAGCGATGAAATAAATATTTACGTACATACATCACGTACATTTAAAGTAGGGCATAAATATATGAATGATATAGAAATAAAAAAAAAGGTCCCTACTTCAGTCTCTGCTATTTCAGTCACCAACAACTATGATTCTACCGTTTCCCTCTCTTACGAAACGCTGGCTGCAAAGTTCGTAATAAACGTGTCTTTTTTTTATGGATGATAACGGAATGGTGCACCCGTCTGCGCTAATGGGGCACCAATGTTAGGTGATAAGATGCGCATGAGGTCAGGTCAGTTAACCCGGCGTCGTGACAAATTCACCAAAAATTTATCACAATGGTTACCAGGAAGAACCGCGTGGAGGTCAACCTGACATGGTACATTGTTAGCAATAAGATCATCTGTCCACATTACTAAGAATTTCCTTTCGCCCCTGAATGGGTATTACCCTCTTTATGCTTCCAATTACAAAGATTTCATCATCCAATGGTGCCCCACCAACGGAAATATACCGTTAGCTACCATTTAATGCGTTTCGTCAATTAAAAACAAACGATGCAATCTTGTCAGTTATCATAGGCCAGTATAGGTATATATATTACACTGAGAATTATGAAACAAACTACAAACAATAGAAGCTACAGTCCGTAATCAGAGTTTGTAATGTACTAAATATGAAGTTATACTGAGACTGCAATGGATGTCCCAAATTATATTAATATATTTTTTTAAAATGCAACTAGAACAACCTTATACCACCAATATAACAATGTTATTATGTGGTCTAATATCTTTGGATATTTACCCAAAACTATACTTAGTAGGTACTTTCGTACTAGGACTTTTGCTAAATCTTATGTTCTCACAATTTTTATTAGTTAAGTTCTATTATTATATTTTCTATTTTAAAAGTCTTGATGATGGATATATATTTTTTTATTTGATAAAAATCCTGTCTACCTGCACTGCCTAACTCCTACTCATTAAAAACAGCAAACTTATCCCCACGAAGTGCCTAGTATTAAAGTCACGAGAGCGCCAAATGCAGGCAGGTTTATTAAACTTATAATAAATCCGCATTATTACAAGTTTAATAAACCTGCCTACATTTACTAATTAAGATGATAATTTCAGCCGCCAGTACCTAATGATCCATGGACAGAAGAGATTGACTGTACACAAGAAACACCAGTACCACTCTTTTCCTGCGAAGACGGCAAAATGGGATCAGAAGATTGTCTCTATATCGAGATATCGACACCAAATCTAAAACCTTCCAAACCCTTACCAGTTATATTCTGGATTAATAGCGTTATCTTTTCACATTGGATAATTGATTTCTGCGATTCTGCCACAATTACCAATCATGGTGTAGTGTTCGTAACATGCAGTTTTCGAATTGGTCCTTTTGGATTTCTTTCTTTTAATGATTGCACAGCACCTGGTAACTGTGGCCTAAAAGATATAGTTCTAGCATTAAAATGGGTGCAAATGAACATTAGTCGTTTTGGAGGTGATCCTGAGAATATAACACTTTGTGGAAGTAACAGTGGAGGATCCATAGTACATCTCATGATGTTGTCCCCTATGGCGAAAGGTTTATTTCATAAGGCTATAATTCAAAGTGCTAGTGCTCTGAATAACTGGTCTTTGTCACTAAACCCATCTTTGACGGCAACTGAGCTTTGTCAGCAATTAGGAATAACAAAAATAGAAAGACATGAAATTATTGAAGAATTAAGATGTTTACCTGCCCATGACATTATAAATGCATTTAATAATCTAAATTGTCGTTTAAACGATACACCCCATAATGATATTTTCGATGCTGTTTTCAAACCATGCATAGAAGATGAATTTGAAGGCCAAGCAGCATTTCTTACCAGAACTCCGCTCATAATTATAAAATCAGGAAACTTCAACAAAGTGCCTTTTATAATTGGAAGTAATAACACGGAAGCTTCTATATTAGACCACATTAAATGGGATTATTACAAAAGTAATCTAGAAAAACTCCAAGAGAATGCTGGATTTCTAGTGCCGAGATCCCTATGTGTTGAAGAAAGTAAATCAAAACTTGTTGGGGAACAGATTTTAAAGTTTTATTTAGGAGATTTTGAAAGTCTCACAGAAAAAACTAAAAAACAGTATCACCAAATTATGAGTGATTACTATTTCCTCTATTACTTAAATAAAACTGTACGATTACATAGTGAATATTCGCCCGAATTCCCAATATTTTACTATATACTTAATTGCACTGGCGAATGGGAAGTTCCGGAGAAGTTAGAAATACTAAATTTATCTGGACATTTCACTGAACTTGGATTTATATTTCAAATCAAATTTGATTCCAAAAAATGTAAAGGAAGTCGCGATTCTCAAATCACTAGAAGCAGAATGGTCAAAATGTGGACTAATTTTGCTAAACATGGGTAAGTTTCACTATATTTAAATAAAGAAATATACCTATCATCATATAAATTAGTACAACTTAGGTAAAACAGTTTTTATTGTGTTTTTGCTGGGTAAGTATAGAAACCATAGACACTCGTTACCATTTACACTGTCTCAAGACAAATAATGTATGAGTAACTAATTTCGCAAGTTTAACGCGAATAAATAAATAATTACTATCGCTAGCGATTAATTTTGACACTGAACAACTAAAATGCTGACTGAACAACGCAAATGATCATTTCTAAATAATTCATACTGATATAATTTGTTATTGTGATTTATTATCATTTCAGAAATCCAACTCCTGACCAGGACGATCCATTGTTACAAGTCACATGGGACCCAGTTGAAAATAAGGATCAATTACATTATATTAATATAGGTACAGATATAACAAAAGGTAGAAATCCATTCTACGAAAGAATGTCATTTTGGGATAAATTCTACAAAGATAATGTGTTTTTAAAAGCTAACGCATATTTTAATGGTATGGGCATAGCATGGTAGGAGAATCAATTTGCTGTCTAATAGACCAGGTCGACATGCTGGTTCAAATTATTATTCCAATATAGAAAGCAAGTGAGCGATTCAATTATGATGAGCGAACATTTGACCGGTTTCTTGCAAAATTAACGGGAAAAAAAAATATAGCTCTGTAGATACATACAAAGACAGAGCAATTATTTTTTCGCACACTGGATCATTCTACCGACTCATGAATCGACAAATTGTTAAAGTTAATGTAATTTGGACCACAATCGAAACGAAGACTCGTGATTCGACTGACATAAATCTATTTAGATGTGAAAATGACTTCGCAAGCAGAACTGAATCATATACAAAATAAATAAATTGTTAATGTAAAGAAGGTATGTACAATCACGAACACAATTAAAATATGTATAAAATCATCATACTATTATACACTATTTTTACTTAGTAGAGAATCTATATAATAAATCATACATTTCTCATCTACTTTCAAGTAAATTTTTAAACACGACTGAATATTACGACTGAATTTGAGTTATATTAACTATAGGTTTTCTTATATTTTAATACTTTTGTACTTTGGCACAAGTTTTATTTGATATCATTAGATTATAATATATTGTATATATATAATATTTAGAATTTTAAATCTCAAAACTGAAATTTATCGTTACAAATCAAAATACGTGTACCTACAACTACTAAAACTACACTATGACCAATAAGATCTTGACATATTGATTATAAACAAAATACATGTTTTCAAATATATAACGTTTAGGTATATATATATTACATTTTATGTGGAAACGTCAAGCGGTTTGCTTGGGTGAGGTCGGTACAGGGTAAAGCTATTTTCAATTACGAAACGGCACATTTACGCTTGTTAACAGTATATTTTATTTATTTACTAGCGAATTTACAAACGTATCTAACAGAAAAGCATAACTCATCCAGGGTCCAATTATGTTTTCAAATCATTCAGGAATCCATTGAAATAAATAAACAATATTTCATCAAAATGCGTTTAGGTATATATATATATATATAAATAGCTGTTCCCGCGACTTCACCCACGTGGAATTTTATTTTATTTTGCCTAAATAAAAGTAGCCTAAGTTACTCCCTATTACATCAGCTACCAGCCAAAAAAAGTCCCGTCAAAATCGGTCCAGTCATTTCAGAGATTGGCCTGAACAAACAGACCGACAAACAAAAATTGTAAAAAATGTTTTTTGGTGTATGTACCGCATTTACGTTCAAATGCATGTAGTAATAAACGATGATTCTAATATTACAAACAGACACTCCAATTTTATTTATATGTACCTATAGATGTATAGATATAGATAATTGACGTATATACCTACATAACGCAACGAACTGTGAAAACTACGTAAAGAAATAAATCGGTATTCTGACTCGCTAATAGAGGATTCTTTATTTTAAATAAATCCATTCAAAAATGCGTAAGCTTTAACATATAAAGAAAATTTATTGAAATTATCAATAAATTTTGTTTATATATTATACATAGTCTTGCCATGTATATTACCTGTATTTTTTTATTGCATAAGTTACTTTTAGTACAGTGTTTGTATAAATATTAAAATTAGATAAAGCTTATTCAAAATGTTTCCCATTGGCCATACAGTTCATTAAACTTTGTTATAACTAGCCGTTAACAAGAGAAGTTCGAATTCTTTCCACGGGAAAATTGTTGCCAATCTTAAGGATCGCTTGGAGTCTCTCCAAATTATCATAGGGTTTAGAGCAAGCCATACTCTCTAAAACTGGTTATACTAGATAACCAGTAGTAGATTACGGTCAGTCATCAGCTTTGATGAAGTTCGGAGCGCTCGTTTCCAACCAAGCTTGGGCGGATAGAACTTTATGACCTGGCGCTGAGTGTTGCTGAAAGGTCATTCTTGGTTATTAAATATGGTGTTATTTAGGGGCTTAACAACCTTCTCTAGGATCTAGGATGGTATCTTGATACACTTGGGCCGATGTTTTGAAAAATATAACCCAGTCACTCCTTCATAACAATATATGCATAGCATAGCTTTGTTAAAATATTGCTCAATTGTAAAAACATTTTCACCTGTAAAAAAAACTGTAAGCACCATACCGCTTAAATAGTTGTTTTGGTTTTACCATCCTATTCTTTTTTAAATAATCAGTTAAATAATGACCAGTGCATCTCTTAAAGGAAGGCGTAAGACCTCTTTTAAAATAAACGATATAGTTCTAGGAGCTATCTTCATCTCGCGATATAGAATTTTTCCTTTCTAACAGGATTTCTTAGACTTTTTTCCTTTACTGCTTTGATTGCCATTCGTACGAACACTGCGTGAACGGCCACAAACAGAAGTTTTATTGTACCTATCAATAGCCCAGTACACAAAATACCAAGCGGATGGAAGTTCAAAAATTGTATTTGACTTCATACCTTCATGTATAATACAATCCCAATAATTCGGTTCTCTCTATCACCCCACTTCATTTTCATATAACATATTTATTTGGCACCTGATTGCCGCGAAAATAAGATTGAAAGTGAAACACAACACAACAGTGGCACATTCCAAATTCAAATTTTATACTTTATTTATTTAAATTGTATCAGTATTTATGGCCAGACTGTAGTTTACTTCCATTCTAAAATTAACTGTAAGCTATAAAAATGATATTTATTATAATAATAACAAGTACTGCGTATATAGACATAGGCTAAATAGAAAAATAGGTTCAGTCTCAAAATTGATTGTGCAATAACATCGAACGTTCGAAGTGAGTTATTTTTAAAATGGAGATGATGAAATGCAGATCAAACAAAAGACAGTAAAGTGTTGGTACCAATGTGTAATATGACCAATAGAAATAATAACTTTACGCAAGGCAATATATATGTTTTTAGATAACAAATATTGACATAAAGCCAAACAAAATACATATATTTCAACTACAAAAGAAATTAACTAGATACACTGTTATCTACAATAGCAAAGAAATATTGCAAGTTTTTCATTAATATTACATACACATAGTAGTATACTCTATACAGAAAAAGTGCAAACAATTATAAAATTACCTTCCAGTTGAGTGTTTTTTAAAAACTTTATTGGTATATACATTTCTACTTTACAGATCTGTAAAGTAATTTAAACTTATGCATATACAAGCTGTAACCGAAATAATGCGCAACATTTTCGGAGGTCTAATTGTAGGTGATAAGGATCTCATCTATTAAAAAAAGCATAAAAACATTACAGTGGGTTACGTAGCATTTAAAAATAATTGTCATTAATTACCTATATTCTGTGTTTTATATAATGACATTTCATACTGAATAAATTTATTAGACAAAGACGTAACTGAACATTTTCTTAGTAATGAATGTGTAGTATAACAAAATAATACAAGAGAATTAGGCAGAATCTAATTTTCCGTCACACATTCATAACTTTAACATGCTTTGGACTATAAAACAAGCTATTACTTTGTCAAACCAAAGTAACATACATAAGTAGTAAGTACCAACTAAAGTATGGTACTATAAAAATAAAATTTACATGAGTGAGAAGTACTTTATAATCTCTAATGCAAGGATGGAATTGTAAAAGTAAATTTGCTGATTGCAAAAAATAACCAACATATAACGTTAATAAAATTATAAAATTAAAACAATTTCTAAACTAATATTACAAAAAGAAAAGGTTTAACTTACAAAATTATTAACACATTTTAAAAATGTGTTCAAATATATAAAGCAGATTGTAACCACTAAACTGGCCTGAATTTTAATAAATAAAATTGAGATCCCTACAATAATTGCACACGTGCAAAAACGAAATGAGTCGCTAGTTTTACAAAAAGGTTATACATGATCTACTCGTCTATATCAGAAATGATTGATTAATGATTTACTAGGTTATCTGCATTTACTGCTTAGTTTGCAGATCGCCTTTTGTATATATACATCTTCATATATATATGACATATACGAAATTTAATATATTACAAATAATTTTAATGACAATAAATGTCACAGGGCTAAATATGTATACATAATATTCCCGAATATTCCAAAGTAACATTTGGCTGTCAAACAATACCTACAATGTGCAACAAATCTTTGTCTGCAATAACACATTGCTTTGTTTCAATAGTAGTTTTCATTATCTAAATTAAGAGTTGTTATGACTAGTCCATTTACATACTTCGTTATTGTGAGTCTCTAATTTTAATACAAAATTTAAATAGATAGGTATATTAATTTATGTTATGCTTGTAAATAGTAGTAGGACATTTAATGTACATAATACAGTGTACTTGCCGTTTATTAAAAAACTTAAACAGATCTCGAACTAATAAGCGTTACTTAGCTAAATTTAGAAATCAACAACCTGTACAGCACTTTTTAAGTGTCAATGATAATAAACATTTTAATTACAAATATTACATACTAGCTTTAAGTTACAAAGGTCTCAATAAAGCATTAATGTAGGAATAAATTGATTATGTAAAATATATATTGAACTGATCCACAAAGTAAAACCAGTTGAATATTCAGGTAACGAAACATAAATTCTTCATGTTACTGTGTTATAAGCCACTTAACCAAGCAGAAAAGTAAGGGGACATTACTCATCACTATAGCGCGGGCACAGGCCTCAATTAGAACTGGAAACCACCCATAGGCACCGACTGATCAGCGCTGAATTGATATTGATCGGTGGTTGAGGAGACTGTAGGTGCTAACCGACCGTCTTCCTCTTCCGATCCGAAGTAGTTCTCAATTATCTCGAACGATTTTTGATATATATCAAGATTTTCGTGCGATTGTAAAAATTCTATTTTGTCATAAAATTTAAAATTAGCACATCTTTTTAATTTGTACATAATTTAAAAAGTTTAAACAAATATATTTTTTTATATTAAATATTACGAAAGCCTAAAAACAGACAAAATTACATACAGTACATGTTTATTTATATAATTAAGTATATTATTATATATATCTGTAGGGGACAGTTTACACACGACACTAAGACCCCAACGGCCTTATTACAAAAAGATAAACCTGGTTTAGCACTAGTAATAAACCATTCACCAATGTATTCCTTATTACAAAATGAAGTTTCGAATCGTGATTCGTCTATGGTCTAAAGTTAGACCTGCGATGCCCCTAGTTTAACAGTGGTCTAAATGCAAAAAGTCAAACTCCATTTTAAAAATTGTATTGTAAGTTGTTGCTTTTTGGAAAATATTTTAACTAAATTAAAAATATTGAAAGCTAATTTTACGATAATAAAAATATATAAAAGACGTTATTTGTTATTTTTTCACTCATTTGACTTTGAAATAGTGACCATTCGAATCGATCCAATAAAAATATCCCGCCGTTCCTTTTCTCCGTATAGGACTCCTACTTGTAATTTAAAACTGATTTTCAGCCTAATAGTACATTAACAAATATTTATATATTAATGAAATAGTTATAATGACGACATAGATGAATAGAAATAAATTTATTTTTAGTTTATACATATTTATTTGAAGTAATATTGTTTTTGATCTTTTCAGTTTTCTGGTAAAACGGAACGTAATTGTACGCTAACAGACATTAGTGACTGATTTCTGTATGGAATACATAATGAACGATTTAACTGTAGTACTAAGTAGTCCTCTGTTAGATCTGGATTCGTAATAATGGAATAAGCCTATATTCCAAGTATTAACTTTAGGAATGGTTTAAACCACGACCATTTAGACCACGTTTCGTCCGAGTTTTAACAGATTTTTTGTAATAAGACCGCAAAGGTTGTAAGATTGAATCCAGTTGCCAAAAAAGATCTTTGTTTCAAATTACATTTCTGACTCACTATCTGGTCATACTTAACACTGATAACAAAATTAATTCCAAATACGGCGGCGTTTTGCACGGTATCTATAGCAGAAAAGAAAATTTAATTTGTAGGTTAGATTAATATTATTAATGATTATAAATAGTTTGTATAAAATATGCTTTTAATTCAAAATTATTAACCTTATTTTTTCATTAGAATAGGACTCTTTATTTTATTTTATTAAATGTCTATTAATAAAATTAAAATAAAAGAACAAGTGAACAGTATATTTTGTAATTTTTGAACGCAATATATCACTAAAGGTATAATATCTAATTACTTTTAAAGATTTACAATATTCCGCCGCAACTTCATAGTAGTGTTTTATCGATAGAAATGATTTATGTTGCGGTAACCTTACTTGATCGCATTTTTTTAAATGATTTCATATTTCAACAGTCATATGTTACATAATTGCCCATAAATCCAAATACGGCGGCGTTTTGCACGGTATATAAATTGTTAGAGATTCAACATGGATAATTTGTAATAACACTACAAATGTAGTCAAAAGACAAATCATAAAACTTGTATCTTACTGTAAACTTATACTTACCAAAGCATTCCTCGATAAGTGCCGCGTATGGATTGTCATGTTGATCCGATGGCTGACCAGCTCTTAATATATTATCTAAGCCATTGAGAGCAACTTGAACCGTTTTCGCATCGGTTAGAGTTAATAAATCACACAAAGGTGGTATGCAACCTTGCTCAACTAAATATCTAAAAAAAAAATCTATTTAGCAATATGGTGATTGTTAAGGATGAACTAATATATTATACATATATACATAATCCTAAATACAACTTATACGACAAAAAGATGATTATTTTACCATTTATCTCAGTAATCATGTGATATTATGCATTGGTCTTAAATGGCAATTAGGTACAATTATTATTTTAAAATAACTTTACCGTAATTTACTAACTATTCCATTGTTTTAAGATGATATATATAACATTAAATTACCTTAAGTCAATAATTTTAAGTCAAAAGTATAAAATAACTTACCTAATTTGATCTTGGGTTCCTCCACTGGTAGCATTAGTTATCGCCCATGCAGCTTCTTTTCTCGTTTTGAATTCAGCTTGTTTCAAAATTTCAATTAAGGCTGGAAATATATTAGCCTCTAACACAGCCTGAAAAAAAAAACACAAATGCGACGATACTACCACAAGATATATCATTACAAATCCAATTATTGAGACAATTTACAACTTTAATCTTTACTAAATGACAACCATTACGAAATAAATATGTAAGCTAGACGGTAATAAACTTTACAAAATATATATATTAAAAGTCGGTCCAGAATTATAGAAAGTAAGTACTACATGTAATACATAAAAAAGTGGCTCCTCTTGTAAAAATAGATACCTGTATTTGCACAGCATTGCCTGCCGTGATATTGGAAATCGTCCAGCACGCTTCCTTCCGATGCGCTTCAATGCTAGATCGGAGCAGCGTGTGTAAGTTGGGCAATGGGTTGCAATTCAACACCGCTTGTGTCTGTGCATCATTGCCGGTCACTATGTTGCCAACGGCGCGTAATGCAGCCGATACTACCGTTGACTTGTTATGCCTGAGAATTAAAAACTTAAAAACATGAGATATAAAAATATTATTATACAATAGTTTAAACTTTAATCTAAGAAATACTCATACCTATTTCCTAAATATAAAAGTATTCATTATAATTTTGTAAAAAGTATATTGGACTAATGAAACAAATATAATGCTATGAAAACTTAGCATTGCCAAAGTAGGACTTTAGGTAGGTAATGCTGTAATTTTACAAGCTATTAAATCTTAGTGCATTCTATAAAACTATTTATGCTTTTGCTCAGATTATTATTGCTTCCATTTATAGTTGACTTCAAGTAATATAAATTCAATGAAGTTTCTTTCTTTATAAGTCTTATTATTTTATTACTTATTACGTTATTGCGAGGCTGAATTGTAATATGCCGGTTTACTATATTTTAATCTCCCCTTACAAACATCGTCAACAAAAATCGATATGTAAATTTTGAACAAAGCATTTAAATTATTAGTATTTTAAAAAATATGGATAGGACATATTTTTGAATATTTATTAGTATTTAAACTGTTTATTACAAAAAATCTGTAAAAACTCGAATGAAACGTGGTCTAAATAGTCGTGATTTAAACCATTCCTAAAGTTAATACTTGGAATAAGCCAAGCATTGTTACGAATCCATATCTAAGAGAGGACTACTTAGTACTACAGTTAAATCGTTAATTGTATTCCATACAGAAATCAGTCACTCGTGTCTGTTAGCGTACAATTGCGTTCCGTTTTATCAGAAAACTGCAATGATCAAAAATAATATTACTTCAAAGGAAAATGTATAAAATAAAAATATTATTATTTGTATTTGTCTATGTCTTCATTATAACTATTTCATTAATATATAACATTTATTAACGTACCTACTATTAAAAAAAAATCCTGAAAATCAGTTTTAAATTACAAGTAGGAGTCCTACACGGAGAAAAGGAACGGCAAGATATTTTTATTGGACCGATTCGAATAGCGATATTTCAAAGTCAATAAAGTGAAAAAATAACAAATAACGTCTTTCATATATTTTTATTATCGAAAAATTAGTAATAATAAAAATAATAAATTAAATATTTTTAGTTAATAAATTTTAAATTTAGTTAAGATATTTTTCAAATAACAACAACTTACTTGACTTGACTTTTTGCATTTAGACCACTTAAACTAGGGGCATCGCAGGTCTAACTTTAGGCCAGGCCATAGACGAATCACGGTTTAAAGATAAACTTTTTTTTGTAATAAGGAATACTTTGGTCAATGGTTTATTACTAGTGCTAAATCAGGTTTATCTTTTTGTAATAAGACAGTTTATGTCCTATAATAATATACGAAAATAAATAAAGTTTATAGTATGCAACTTACATAAGTAGCTCTACAAGCCTTCTGCAGACACCGGCATCAATCACTGCCTGTATCTTTTCGTTTGGTCCATCAGACAAATAAGATAGTGCCCAGCAAGCGTCGCTTAACACATCCGCGTCGGTATGATGAAGCAACCGCGCCAACACTGGGATACCTATATATTGAACGATTGTAATGTTAGAGCCGTTCTCAGGCAATGGATAGAACGAACGACTGTCTGTAAATCCTGATCCTGATCCTGTACATCAAGTCAAACAACCAAGAATTATATTTAAATACTTAATTTAAATGTACTAGATACTTTATAGGTGAAAGCCCAAATACAACAAAATATTAGTCAAATGTCGTTTATTGTTGGGGCTAATAATTTTATTCTAATATAGGACAGCCTAGTTACATATTGAATAAAATTATAAAGATTATCCCAACAAAAATTTGTAATTATTAATACTGGTATTGATATGGTACTTTAGTGGAATTTTTAGTGTAAAGAAATTTACTAAAGTTAATGTACTACTCTAGTAAAAACAACCTATGTTTTTTATATTCTAACTCGAGAGATAATGAAGTAAAAGCACATTGTCTGCATTAACAGAATAAACTTGCCTGGTGCTACAGCTTCGAAATTCGTTGGAGGGTTCTTGCCTCTACACAAATTTGATAATGTCCATACCGCATTTCTTGTCATGGATAGTCTAGTGTACTTATTTAATATTCTGAAAATATAACAAATACTTCAGTTACAATTAGAACATTTTCTTACACAAAAATAGAAGAGAAAGGAAATCACACACACAATGCATAAAGAAATATGGAAAGTTTTCTTTCCCGAGGAGATAAAAACAAAGAATATCCTTCACTGACGGGTCTAATAGCGAACTCTGAAAAGGGCACACACTATGTAGGTTTGCTACAGGTGCTACACATCTGACAATAGCCCAAACAACCCAATAAAAAAAAATAAAAAAATACACAAAAATACACACAATTAGAATATTTTCTTACACAAAAATACACATAATACTCTGCACACACTGTAGTTTTCAGTCTACTATTTCAAGTAGTCCTATAGGACAATCTAGTCAGAGTGTGGTTCTATGATAACAAACTGATGACATGCTCATTTTCTAATATGTGCATAATACAATATGTAATTACCCAGGCCTATACCTACATAATGATATGAATACAGATATTTATACTCTGCGAGATTCGAACTTGCAACCATCCGGCAAGGCTCACTTCTGTTGTGTTGCTATTGAAATAAATAAATAACCCTGGACAATTAACACAGCGCCATCCAGTCCGTAAGCAGAGCTTTTGTTATGGGTTCTGGACAACTAATAAATACTTATATATGTTTTTGCAAATACATAACATATGTGTATTATGTATTTGAGAAAACACCCAGACAATACAACCAATCATACTAATGAATACAAATATTTGCACCATGCGTGGAATCGAACCGCTAGACTACCGAGCCCGTCGATATAAATGTCCATGATATGTATGTGAATAAGGTGTAAGCGTAAAAAATCTGACTGTATAAGCGGCGGCAGCACGCCGGCCTGCAGCACAGTGTCGCGGCAGGCGGGCGAGTCGCCGGCGACGTTCCCGAGCGCCCACACGGCCTGTTCGCGAACGTCGTCGCCCGCGCCGCTGGCCGCCAGCGCCACCAGCACAGGCACCGCGCCACACTCCACCACCACGCGTGTCTGCTCCGACGAGCCCGACGCGATGTTCGTCAACGCCCACGCCGCTTCGAACTTCAATCACAAATGTATATCTTGTATTACTCTAGCCGGATCCGAACAGCCTACGAGGCTGTCTTATAATGCAAAGAATGTAAAGTATAACTGCCAGATATGTTTTACAATAGTGTGCATACCCTCACAGCATACCCTAAGCTCTGAAAACGTAAGTGACGTACGCTAGGCATACTGCGTGATAACATTATCATAATTTATAAATTCTTTAATCTATATCAATACATTATATATGATTATACAAATATAAATTCTTTACTGGAAATAATATATTAAATACATTTTAGTGTAATAGCAAAAAGTTATCTTTGGTTTTTTTATGTAGGTTACTTAGAAAACAAGCTGACGGCTCACCAGATACGCAGCAAACGTTGCCTATATACATATATAGGAACAGCAATACAGACATTAAATTATCATTTGATACCTGTGATACCACTCATGCCTTACAATTTGAAGACTAAAATGTCACATATCCTATCTACATTTCACTGCTTAATAATGGCAACCTAAAACTGCAACACAGCTTAATTTTCAGCTTTACAGCTGAAATATGTTAAACTGAGGATCCAACCAGATTTTTCTCACAAAACTAGAACTGCAAACAAGATTACTATTTACCTGTAAACTAGGATAATCACTATTTGTCAGAAATTCAACAAATTTTGGAACTATTCCAGTCCGTATAACTTCATCAATAGGCGGATTGGGCTCTCGACTAAGCAGTTTACGAAATTTTTGTGTAGCCAGCACTTGCTCTTGGGGGTCATCACCATAAAGAGTTGCCACCATGGCTGGAGTAATATCATCAGTTGGAGATAAATTCATATCATCCTGAAAATATAATGGATAATTTATACAACCATAAAAAAAATTAACATTACTACTATATTTGATACACTTGTATGTTTTTTTATTATCGCGATATCGGAATTAATATTTAATGCACAAAAATTGTGCAATTCACATAAGTAATTTAAACATAACTATAGCAGCAGAGATTATATGTTAATACATATTTAAAAATAAACCTATATACTACATACAGAATTATCCTGACTAGTTTTCTTTTTTCAGGTTTCTTAACATCAAGGAAGAAGAATTTCAGTTCTCTTGATAACAAGTTTGGCACAATAATTCTAATTTAAAATTAAGACTTAAGAGTTTTACAAACTTACATCTTTACATTCTTCACCATTTTTAACCAATATTCAAATACTTTCAAATCCTTTTTTTTCTATGGACTGACATAAGTCAAATTAATATTGTGATAATTTTTATAAAAAGAAACATATAATTACAGTACTTACTTGTAAAACAATATCAGGTGTATTGGTTGCTGGGAGATTAACATTTCTACGTTTGAACAATTGTTGTTCTCTTTTTTGTTTCCGTAGCTGAACACCCTCTTCTTCACGACGACGACGTAACTCGTCCGCACTTAACCCCACATTCTTGTAGCGATGTTTGTGACCACCCGACATCTAATTAAAAACAATATTTTCATATATATGGTAATTTTCTCTGTTTTTAACAACTAATTTTTAAATGTTTGACAATAAGTCATAAAAGGATTGAATAATCTCAGTTATATCTAGTGTTTGTAAACATTGTAAACACTAAGGAAAAATTAATTATTACTAATATTATAAAGTATTAACATTATAAATGCGAAAATATAACAGACTGGTTGATTTTAACCTTTCAGTACCAAAATGGATGAATTAACATTAATGAAAATTAATGCATAAACATAGATTGCACCATGACAGAAAGAATAAGTATAAGATATGTTTTGCGTCAAAAAATAATCAAAAGGGTAAAAATTAAAGCGAATTCAGCAAATCGGTACATGGCAAGTGTCTACCAAATTAAACCTGGAGATGATATTTTATCCTATCAAGCCTAGGCAAAATATTTGGGCATACATTCTAATAAGAATCAAATGTGGAAAACGCACATTTAATAAAAATGCAATGAGTTGAATACATGACTCAGAAATCTAAACTGGCTGACAGGCAGAGGATCGCACATCACCATGGAAAAGAAGACACTCATTTATAAAACCATAAAATAACCAATTAAGTTCCAATTTAAAGATTTTGCAACAGTTTCAAAATAAAGCACTCAAAACTATAACTGCTGCACCTGTATTCATCAGAAAAACTGAGAGTACACAGAATGAGAATGGTTAGAAAAGAAATAGAACATAGAACAAGAGCATATAGATATTGTATAGATGCACCCCTAGACAACCTCTATATGCTCTTATTACTAATATCTTTGCAAGAACACTACATGAGCCGATAAACTATAGAAGGCTTAAAAGACATCAAGCATAGGATTTTATTCATGGATGAGAAAAAAAAAGTTAATGTAAAATGAGACAGTTCTTATCAAAACCATATTATTTCTGAATACACTCAATGTAAAAATTGGATATATAAATTTTATCACAAATATACATTCTATGAGATTCCTTAAAAATAGAAGATCCTCACCGTTGCTTCTCAATACATCCATGAAAATATTATGTATGCCAGGAAAAACATTAACAGTTTTAAAAAAGTAGGTGATTACACTAATAAAAGCTTATGTAATGTCAACAAACTAGTTTTACCTAAGTGCTGTTTGACAAAAGTCAGTAATTCGTTTCATGGAAATTGCGTAAGATTTTACAACAAACTCCCAAAGTCTGTAGTCAATTTGCCAGAAAAAAATTGAAGAATTTATAAATGATAATAATGTTTTTGTAGAAAATATCTAACTTAAAATTCATAGGGCTGACAATGTTATCTGATTGAGCAGAGAGCAGAGAGACGGAGTGCATTGCGGTGCGGTTTCTATATTGATTGTCGCATGCCTAATCCTTGTTGTTAATTAAATATAAGTAAATCAAGATTTATTTAAAAGAGCAACACACAAGTTTCTGCTTATTATTCTTGTGATGAATCTGCATTCCGAATAAGCGGTAGAATAAAAAAACTTGACTATTCAAAAGTGCTTATATTAAGTTTATTTGCATAAATATTATTTCTATTTCAAGACTTTCAAAATTATCATTTACAAATAATTGGTAATATTAAAAAGGAGTGTAACCACTAATGTTATTTTGTACTGAGTTATTGGGCCTATAATGGGCCGTTTTGAGATCTATTTTAAAATTATCTTCTTTGATCCTCAATTTTTTAAGTAAAATGTACAGGGAAATAAATACACAGTTTAAATAAAGTTATAATAACAAACAGACGAAAGATTGTGTTTCTATAGAAACAAAGATTAATAAAAAATAAATGTATTGTGAACAATAGACTTGCTTTCAGAATTAAGGACAAATCAAAATAATACAGTAATAGTTTGTTTGAAAATCAAAAACAATTATAATAATGTTATTTATCAGTCGTACTTAACAATACCCATTGAAGTATAACTAGCAATGCAAAGTAATTAATGGTCATGCTACTAAATGTACTTAATAACTTTGCTGTCGGAATACTATTAATAAAAATATATAATATTGATATTATCAACTTGTATTGGTATTATATTGATACCTTAAGTGTATAAAAACCAAAAATCTGTAAAGACTGTAAATACATTTGTGGAAACAGTGAAATAGACAATTAATGAAATGGTAAAATGTACTAAACTTACTGTGTTTAGGAGGTGAAATTAAGATCTTATGTTTATGGAGATTAGATATATAAGCAATCAATCGACCATTTATTAATTAAATAATTTTATTATAATGCATGTACAAAAAATTATTCGATATATCAATATCGTCGATCAGTCAAATTGAATCACGTCATGAAAAATTTATTATTTTTTGTTATTAACCAGGGTTGCCATCTATAAAACAAGTTTTCCTAAGAAGAAATAAATAATCACATGAAATCTAGTACATTAGCTCAATTTAGTTCTTTCACATCATATGTCCTAGTATTTTGACCTATAGTCGTAGGTTAAGATTTCGTACATACTGGTATGGTGAAAAAATCCTCGTACAATGCCGAACAATCTCGTATTTGTACGGGAAACTTCATAATCTTGGGATAATTGTAATGAACGACTCTGGATTCGCGCGTCGTCTAAAGTCAGAGGATGCTGCACCATGTAACATTCTGATAAGAACTGTATTATATATTCAGTAATTTATGCTAGTAAATGATTAAAATTTAATTCATTTTTGTATGATCTCAGACGAGAAAAAGTTTTGTACGAAAAATTACCTATGGATATAAGAGTCCAAGATCCAAGAGATTAAACCAACAGTATGCTATAGTTAGTTTGACATAAATATTCAGCATATATTTAGAAGCTCCTTGGTAGTAGGAGTATTTTTTTATGGTTGTATCTGATACACCTAATTATAAAAATATAGAACAGTTTTGATTCTTGTTCTTAGGTTTTATTCTTTATCTGTGGTCTGTAAAAACGAAGTAAAATTTAATCTCCAAAAATTACAATTACAAATCTATACTCTGTACTCTAGCTAAAGTTCTAAAACTTCTAAGCATTCTATGATCTGTGTTGTTAAGGTCTGATAATGAAATCTGATTATTAATGTTACAATTTTCCCAATTATATTTTAAAAAATGATTAAGTTACTCTCGATTCGATTATGCACGCGTTATGTAATAAGAAATATGTGTACACCATCAACTTCTGGACCATCTTCGTCCCAATCTTCTGCCCGTGCACAATACAGACCATCTGAGTTCCAGAAGTTTATCCTAGTTTGGACAAAGAAATACAAGTCCAAGGAAGAAATCCCTAGCTTTGTATCGTACGTACAGCTTTTATATAAGTTTTAAATTTTCTTTTCCATCGTAAATTCATATTTATAGGTTTTCAGATTGTGCTTGAAATTTAACAAAATATATTTGTTAATAAACAATTTTCTGTTTAATTCACAAATTATATATTATTGTGGATACTACAAAAGTAATATTTATTATGTATTTTGTTTTAGTGCTGATTTAATCGAGAGATCGCGTAGTCAAGCCAGAATTAAAATTGCAAATGTACTCATGCTTCTAACTGCTCTCGCCAGTTTGGGTGCAATATTTGCTGGCAAAGCTGCTGCAAAACGAGGTGAATCTGTACACCAGATGAATATAGATTGGCACAAAAAGTATGAGGAAGATTACATTAAGAAACAAGACCCAACATCTAAATAAGAATTAGTTTGTCTAAATACTGTAATAAATCATGTTCAATATATAACCATGTACATAGTGTATTAAAGAGATGTATTCTATATTAGATAAGTGATGTAGTAAGTTATTAAAAAGCAAGTAAAATTATCTTAATTCTTGTTTCATCCCTTAATAGCAACTGAATAATATAAAATTATGGAGATGTTATAGTTAATTAATTAATATAGATTAAAATTATTTATGTAGCAGGTGAAATACAATCAAAGGCATATTCTTGTTTGTATGATTTCATTATTCAAACAACTAACATCTGTATACTATAATGTACCATTACAAGCCTTTTTCTATTCTCATAAATCATTAGGTTTAAAGTAACTTCTACAGCTATCTGTGAACACTTTATTGGTTTTTTCTTTTATGACTTCCTCAACGCTAAGTTCTGTTTGTAATAGGCGCAGCTGAAATTATAAGAATATATAAATTAACACCATTTATGCAGGACAAACAAAATGTGAACAGCTGTACACACATAGTAAGGAATTTTACTGTACATTTGATTTTCTAAATCACAACACACTCTTTTATTACTTAATTAAATTAAAGCTTATTAAATACTGAAAACATAATTAATATTTTAAAAATTAAATAGTAGGTATTATACCTTTCTTTGTTCAGTCTTTAAATTTTTGATAACTTCATAATCATCAGGTCTTTCCTCTCTAACAGATTTAAGTTTTTTTACAGATTCTGCTGTGACCAAAATGCAGTTCTTTATTATTTTTTCTCTTTCAGTATGTACTTTATTTATCTTTGAATATAAATCCTGGCAAGCTGTTGTAATATTTACTTTATTATGAAACGATTCTGTAGGTATAGATGTATTTAGTGCATAAATAATTTTATCATCAAGTGATCGCATCTTTTTCAGCTTATCCTAGAAAATACAGTCAATATTTTAATGAATAAATTCGGTAATACAAAATTGTGGGTGAAGACAGAGGTTATTTTTGTTTACACTACACTATAAGTGTTATTAGTCTGCATTCGTCAGTGGCTAAAATTTTAATAAGTATAAGGATTTAGTTGATACTTATTGGAAATATTGAAGAAACTATTAAGACAGTTAATACAAACCTGAAATTCCAAAAAGTCGGGACAAATCATGGTATGAAATGCTCAATATATTAATTTAAATTACATAAGTTTTCAAATAACTTAGGAACAAAAATGTAGATGATAATCTCTATCTTGTCGTTAGGCGAAAAGTATTTATAGTACAATTGTTATAAATATCAAGTTATGAAGTTAATTTTCACTAAGCAAAGAAGCAGCGTAAGCAAATAATCACAATCACTTTGACTATTGTTTTTTTTATTACGGCATGGCATAAAATTTATTCGCCATATTTACCTATATATATTATGTAGAATAATAATTAACATTGTTAATTTGACAGCTACATCGGGAAGAAAGAAATAAGTCTTTCTGATATGTAAAAGAAAAGCTGCAGAATATTCTATAACTAGACCGTTATTTGTAAATAGTTATATTATTGAAAGTCTTCCTGGATCTGTTAGTGATACTCGATGAGATAGAGAGAGAGAGAGAGAGTTTATCAAAGAGTAAGTATACCAGAGGAAGTTTATGTTTGGCTAGATAATAGTGTTCTGTGATGAAATGTGATTTTACGGCCTTGGAAATGTGATATCTCTATGTCCAGTGTTACCAGATTACTATTTGGTATCAAATTTCATCGCTAAGCTCCCAAAAAAAATGTATTGAATGAAAATACTCTTAATAAAAAAAAACACAAAAAGGTCAGTCAGTTAACACTTATAAAATTTCTTCTACAACATCTTTATTAAAAAATCAAGTTTAGCACGATTACCAAATTGCGTATTAGCAACACATTATTTTTTTTTAATAACTTCTGTTTTTTTTTAATCATTCTTTTCTGATTGACAACTCTCACAATGAAGTACGTTATTCATTTTTGTTAATATGAATCTTATAAAATCTTGTAAATCTATGTGTTTACTAAAAATAATAAATATAGATAATGACATAACAGAACTCTGAAATAATAGTTATGCCTTATTTTCAGGATCGGCCTTTGCGCTTACAGTGGTTACAAGATCTATCCTGGCCATGGAAAAACCATGGTTAAGGTGGATGGCAAGGTAAATACATACAATAACCTAAATTTCTGTATAGTTTTAGTTTCTGAAATATCATGCCCAGACATTAAATATTTATAATTTTTGTTTGTACACAATAAAGTACAAATAATTTGAAGTTATTTACAAGATTACATTTATACAGTAGCCCCTATATGGTGCAAATCTAAATAATAACTCCAGATTTTATTTAAGTAATAATAATAGCTTCTAAATGTATAAGCTATTATTATATAACTTAATAAATCATACTTATTAGATAGATACCAATCAATGCATATTGAATTGTAGTTAAGTAAGTAATGTATAATTAGCAGTATTAATGGTTTCAGTCAAACGTATACCTGTACTGTATGTAGATTTAATAGCTTTAAACTTTTTAATAATATTTGTAAATGAGTTTTTAAGTAATTACAAAATTCTCCATTTATTTATGTTGAAAAATATAGTTCTAAATGCCTTTTCTGTAAAACTACAACAATTTAAACCTGTAATTTTCAGACATTCACATTCCTGAATTCAAAATGTGAAGCGGCCCATCTTATGAGGAGGAATCCTCGCAAAGTAACATGGACAGTATTGTATAGGTATGCTATATTTTTGTCTTAAAACTCAATCTATGGAAGGATGCTTATCTTAAATGGTAAAATTGTTAACCAATCTGTTCTTATAAAGAAACTTGTCAAAGCTAAGTTACCAATTCTTGGTCAAGTGACATTCCTATAGAAAGTCATACATTATAATTTATGAGAGGAGTGCTCTGAAGAGTAAATTCCTGCTACTGCCAAAGTACAGACAATGAATGTGTATCAGTCAATCTACAAATAATTCAATAAACTATATTTTCATATACCTTGTTAATTTTTATGAAGCTGGCATATACTAAGAAAGAACTGGTTACAATTACTAATAAGTAACTGATTAATTAACAGTACTGGTAACCTCACCATACCTTGAGATGTATGAAGATGTTAAACATTACTGATAAAAAAAAGTGTAATATATGACATTAATTAAACATTGTTATAGTATATTGATATAGTATAATTATAATAATAAAAATATTTTTAGACGTAAATTCAAGAAAGGCCAAGAGGAAGAGCAAGCCAAGAAGCGCACCCGAAGGACACAAAAATTCCAACGTGCAATTGTTGGTGCTTCTCTCAGTGACATTATGGCCAAGCGTAACATGAAACCTGAGGTGCGCAAAGCACAAAGGGAACAAGCTATCAAGTAAGTTTTCAGGATCTTATTTTGTTATTTTTTTATTTTTTTTTCTAAAGTTAACTCCTGTCTCTAATTTGTTTTTATTTATGTAATAAAATATATATTGTGGCTTAAAATAAAACCAAAATTCATAATTTTTATAATTTGTTACCTATAAATTTAACTCATGTTATCATCTATCATCCACCAGAAGTTCACTTTTATTCATGAATTAAATTAAATTTTCAATGCAGTTGTAGTAAAGGCAGGTTGTAACCATTGATGCTATAGGAAATTGTTGTCAATAAGAAACTAATCTCTTCTTTATCCTAATTACTGCCAATAATTTCGAGATATATATATAGTCTTGTTAATAGCATGTTTTGAGAGACATGGGATTTGTAGCTGTAGCTTTTTTAATTTGCTTGTAACAATTATATACAAATAATTTTAAAAAAAAGTAGCTCACATTTTAGAGCAAATATGTATTTTTTCCAATTAGCTGTTATATTGCAGGAGTCCATTACATTAATAAATGATTGATAAGTGTTCATTGTTGCACTTTATTTACGACTTATTAAAAAAATAAATATAACATACTCAATGAAATATTTTTATTTTTCACAGAGCCGCCAAAGAACAGAAAAAATCAACAAAAGCGGCAAAGAAGGCTACGGCTCCTCCAACGAAAGTAAAGGCTCCTCCTAAAGCCAAGGCTGCTAAAGTCAGTCAGAAGTCTGCTCCAAGAGTAGGAGGAAAACGATAAGAATTGAATACAACAAATAATTTTATTTTGTTATTTTATTTACCTGCAAATGTTCTAATAATTTTCATGTTTCATTTCCTATTTGTACATTTCTAGAGATGCTTTGTAAAACAAAATGCCAGTCACCAACATATATTTGTGGGCAGTACATTTATTAGTTTTAGACATTCCTACAAGAACACACATCTTAGGCCCCTTTCTCTTTTTAATTTACATAAATGACCTTCCCTTTATGGTAGAGAAAATTGCAGATATGCTGTTTGCGGGATGATACTTCGTTAGTGTTTAAAACTGGACGTCAAAGTAATCAATTAGACAATGTAAATTGTGCTATGTCTGCTATATTAAATTGGTTAACATGTAATAACCTATTATTAAATTCCAGCAAAACAAAGTATAAAATTTACACTTCCTAATGTAAGACTAATAAATACACAGTTATTGCTTAATGACGTTAATGATAGTTTTTTTTAGGTATAACAGTGGTCTCGAAATTACAATGGGGACCCCATATTTCAAAATTGGCCAGTAGACTCAGTTCTGCTGCATATGCAATTAACAGACGTGGCGACGGCTAAACTTGTATATTTTAGTTATTTCCACAGCATAATGTCCAATGGCATACTGCTGTGGGGTAAAGCAGCCGATATAAATACTATATTTATTTTGCAAAAGAGAGCCATACGTTCTATTTATGGTATGGGTTCAAGAGAGTCATTACGTCAATGCTTTAAAGAATCAAATATCCTCATCCTTACTTCACAATACATTTATGAAAATATCATGTATCGGGTATACATGATAACTGAAGAACTTAGTTTTAAAAAACTCAAAGACTGTCCAAGTAGAAACTTACGCAATAAAAATAAGCTAATTTTACCTAAATACCGTTTGCACAAAATCAATAATTCATTCTACGGTAATTGCGTAAGATTTTATAATAAACTAGCTGTACCTGCGACTTCGTCCGCGTAAAATAGTGACCTTGACCAAATAATGAGCGAAATATTTAGTAATAATCTGCACTAAATCTGACAGAGAGGCAATTCAAATCTTATATTAATGAATTTTTGTGTAAGAAAGTCTATTAGAGGATAGACGAATTCATAGATGACAACATATCAAGTGAATAATTCGTTTATTAGCATACAATGTTACAATTTATTTTTCTCATTGCTTTCTTGATTTAATTATTTTAGAAATATGAAAGCGTAGCGGTTTTTGTATTGATTGCCGCATGCATTCTTATGTAAAATGTGAATACTATAACTATCATATGGCAATTGTAAGTAGCTATGACGTGGTCTAGTGTTTTGAGTGTGTTTTTCATGCTCACTAAAATATCCAGACTAGTGGTGGCGTGGTGGGCCGGGTCATTGGACTCCGTAAAATATGGTCGAGCGCAGTGATGGCTGGCTCATCCGTCATATTCGTGATCGGGTGCTGCTTGTAGGGACTGGTCTGCTCTGATCACTATGACCGATTTCCTCTTATTAATTGTTTAACCAGTTGGTTATATATTAAATATTTTTTCTATTTGAGTATTTAATTGAATTAGTGCTAATTGGTGGTTTGTATTCACACACTTACTTCAAAATGTAAAGTAATAATAAAATTATTTAAAAGAGCAACACGCAAGTTTCTTGCTTGTTCTTCTTGTGATGAGACAGCTTTCCGAATAGTATAGTATAGTAGATTAAAAAAAATGGAATGACTATTCAATGTAAGTTTATTTGAATAAATTATTTTCTATTCTACCCTAAGTAGTAACGCCCATAGTTTGTTATCACTAACATTGACCCCTGTTACTGGCCCCATAAAGTCGTGTCGTTTTGCATTTCTCACTTCCTTAATAGGAACACCGATAACACAAAATATATCGGAAGTGACGACAATTTACTTGTCATATTGGACCGGAAAATATGGTTGTCGAAACTGGGACCCATGCCCCATTTTAAGAATATATTGGGTTGATAATTAAAATTACCATAGTATATAGCCAAGGCCATCGGGGCCAATCATTAATTACGTTTATAATATTTGTATGTTATTATGCTGACATTCACACTCAATAGGGATTTATAACATGAAATAAACATGGCATATTTGATTAGGATTTTAGTTGTATGCATCCTAGTAGGAAATTGGAAATAAAGAAAATAAGAAAACAAAAATTATATTGATACACGATTTAATGTTGTTTTGTAATTCATAATGAATACCACAAGTAATTTGGGTTGGCAGTTTAAATAAGTAATAAATATTATGTAATAATAATCACATAGCTCATTTCCCCTATATCTAATATTAACTACTTAAGCATTCTTTGCAAGTGTTTCAGCTTTTGCCACAACTTCTTCAATAGGTCCAACCATATAGAAAGCTACTTCTGGTAAATGATCATACTCGCCTCTCAGAATCTGAGAGAAACCTTTAATTGTTTCTTCAAGGGGTACTAGTTTTCCTGCATGTCCTGTAAATACTTCAGCTACTTGGAAAGGTTGTGATAGGAATCTTTGGATTTTGCGAGCACGAGCAACGGTTAACTTATCTTCCTCAGACAGCTCATCCATACCAAGAATAGCAATAATATCCTGTAGAGATTTATAGTCCTGAAGAATCTTTTGTACACCACGAGCTACATTGTAGTGTTCAGCGCCAATGATATTAGGATCCATGATACGTGAAGTTGAATCAAGAGGATCTACAGCTGGGTAAATACCAAGTTCAGCAATAGCTCTGGATAATACCGTAGTGGCATCCAAGTGAGCAAAAGTGGTAGCAGGGGCAGGATCTGTTAAATCATCGGCTGGGACGTAAATGGCTTGTACAGATGTAATAGACCCCTTTTTGGTGGTTGTGATACGTTCTTGCATGGTACCCATGTCAGTAGCCAATGTGGGCTGATAACCTACAGCTGATGGGATACGACCCAGTAAAGCAGATACCTCTGAACCAGCTTGGGTAAAACGGAATATATTGTCAATGAAAAGTAGTACATCTTGTCCTTCTTGGTCTCTGAAATACTCTGCAACTGTCAAACCTGTTAAAGCTACACGAGCACGAGCACCAGGTGGTTCATTCATCTGACCATATACCAATGCTACTTTAGATGTCTTATCTTTGAGAGATATTACACCAGACTCAATCATTTCATGGTACAAGTCATTGCCTTCCCGAGTACGTTCACCCACTCCAGCAAATACGGAATAACCACCATGAGCCTTGGCCACATTGTTAATAAGTTCCATAATTAATACTGTTTTACCCACACCAGCACCACCAAATAGACCAATCTTCCCTCCTTTGGCATATGGAGCTAACAAATCAACAACTTTTATGCCAGTTACAAGAATCTCTTGTTGTACAGACATGTCTACGAATTCGGGTGCTTCGGCATGAATGGCAGCTGTTTTATCTGTGGGGATAGGGCCACGTTCATCAATAGGTTCTCCAATAACATTAATGATGCGACCAAGAGTCTCGGCGCCCACTGGTATCCGAATAGGCGAACCAGAATCGTTAACAGGTTGCCCACGAACTAATCCTTCTGTACCATCCATAGCAATTGTACGTACGGTATTCTCACCTAAATGTTGCGCCACCTCCAGAACTAATCTGGGAGATCGATTTTGAACTTCGAGGGCATTTAGAATGGGTGGAAGATTGTCTTCAAACTGAACATCTACTACGGCGCCGATAACCGCGACCACCTTACCTTGGCCCTTTGCTGAAGACTTAGCTGCATATTCTCGTTTGTTCACAAGTATTCCTGCAGCTAGAGGCGTTCGATCTATCGTGCTGTTAACTACCGCCCTCGTGGCCAATTGGCCAGCTTTACAGACGGAAGAAAACATTTTCGTTTTAAATTCGAAGAAAAATTGTATAAAAGTTATAGAATGAAATTTACGTAAGAACTAAGACCAAGAGGTGATTGAAGAGTTGCCTGATCGAAATTCAAATCACAAAATGTACAAATGGATTGGAACCATTGTTGCCAGATGACAGTCTGCTTCTCCCTACAAATTTTGTCAATTATCACAAAATTCACAATAACACGGAACCACTTATTGTTCGGATTATTTATTATTAAAATTAAAGAATTTTGTTGCCGATAGTAAATTATAATTGACGCCAATTTAATTCGTTCGGTTTTATTATCGATTCAATGTTTCTAGAAATGAATCGATATAAATCAATGAAATACAAATTTTTATTTATTCAAGCATCGAATCAATCCGATAAATCGTGTGGGTTATATTAATATGAAACCGTATAAAATTAACATCACCAATGGCAACACTATAAACATTAATAGGGTTTGTATCCAGAGCCGTAAAACATGACAAATAAAAAAAATCCATCCGTTCACTATACTTTTGAAGTTGTTCTTTTCTATTCGCCATGCATATCCCATATTGCATATTTTTATTTTAATATATAATCGGTCTTATACTATCTTTTAGTTATTTATGATTAACAATATATATTTTGAAAATATTCGTGTGTTAACATATATTTCTATAGAATAATGGAGTACATATCGTCAGAAAATGTATCAGCAAACAGCACACGAATGTACGTACTATTAAATTTTATAGGTTATATACTATAATATGATTTATATTATTTCTGTTTTCATACAATAGTTGTACATATAATAAAATTCTATTCTTACTGCTGTAGCATTCTTTTATATTTTTTGACGTTTTATATGCCAAATTGATTGTCATTTTATTCCAATATTTGTTTTATTTTCTGTACAGTTCTATAATACTAACATACGTAGGAATGCCATTTGGTAACTATTTTATTATAGTATATATTATAGTACTACAGTGATTTCAATTTCCTAGTAACAAATATCAACCTAGATTTTATAGGGGCCATTTACAAGTCTCCCTATGTCTCTTTATTCATTATAGTTTAAATTTATTTTCAGTTTATGCTGTCAGTGTGCAGTGCCTATTGAAGCAAATCCATCAAATATGTGTGTAGCATGTTTACGGGCTCATGTAGACATCACAGAAGGCATTCCTAAACAAGCTACTCTTTTCTTTTGTAGAGGTTGCGAAAGGTAAGAATAATTTGTAATAGTACATAGTATTTTGTAATAAGACTTAAAAGATTATGGGACTCAATTGGCGGTAAATGATCTTGGTACCATATGACAAATTGCAAAATCAATAAATATTATAATCTTCCTCCTTGGTAAGAAATGAAATGTGTTTGAAAGATTTTGAAAATTATGCATATAACATAGTAGTTAATATAACATAGATGTTAATACTGCTTTTTGTTGAAAATAGATATTTGCAGCCTCCAGCAGAGTGGATAGTGTGTGCTTTAGAGTCTCGAGAACTTCTTGCACTCTGTCTGAAAAGATTGAAAGGTTTGAACAGGGTTAAGTTAATAGATGCTGGATTTGCATGGACAGAACCCCATTCAAAGAGAATAAAGGTGAATATTGTATGGCTTTATTTAAAAGTTCAAAAGGGAAATTCAAACACTTCACATCTATGCATGCAATTTGTTGGTGAACTTAATTTTGTAGCTTTAAAACACCAAAATTAGCTTATATAAGCTAATCTAATCAAGTTTAAATGGTTATGGGGAATTGGAATGATCAAAATTTTATTTAGTTTCATAGATAAAGTTTGGAGAATATATATCTTTATTTTGTCAATATATTTATAATAAACAAATATTGGTAAATACTATTAAAAATGTTTTTTTATTTTTAAAAATTAATTCAAATCACATAGACAAAGTCTAACAAATGTATGGCAATATTATAAAAACCTATTATTTTTCACAATCATGCCATGTAATTGACTTATTGTTACACAGTTTATGTGTTTACATTCAACTTAATATCTTACTTTACCTTGTTTCCTATTAAGAATTGTGGATTTATTCTGATAAATAGAATATAAGAATATCTTTGGGGGATTGCAATGGTTTTGTAATTATTTTAGGCAGCTCAGAAATCTGGTGAATTCTATGATATGTCTTATCTTATATTGGAATGTTTTGTAAATATGTATATACAAAAATATAGATATTTTCAGGTTAAACTCACAGTACAGGGTGAAGTCATGGGTGGAGCAGTGCTTCAACAGACTTTCATTGTAGAATTCACCATACAACATCAGATGTGTGATGCCTGCCATCGTTCAGAGGCTCAGGATTACTGGAAAGCTTTGGTGCAAATAAGACAACGTGCAAATAACAGGAAAACCTTTTATTATTTAGAACAGTTAATTTTAAAACATAAGGCACATGAGAATACTCTTGGTATAAAGCCAAAGCATGGTTAGTATCTATAAAGAGAAAAAAAAAATAGTTTTTGTCTTAATTATTAGAAATAACAAGGCTAGTTCACTTTTATTATATTCAAATTTATATTATTAAATACATATGCAAATAACTTATAACTGTGAATGTATATGAGGATGTTTGGACATCTACAGCAACAGAAACTACTAATGCTGTTTATTTACAAATTGTGATTCACTATGGGCACATTTTAAATTCACAGTAGTTGTTACCTACTGTGTGAAGAATCATATGGACCAGTGGCAGTGTATGATCATGTTTAAATTTATTTTGTCTTTAAATGTTGCTAATTGTAGCAATGACACTAATATTTTAAATGTGAAAGTTTGTGAGTGTGTGTGTATGTTTGTTTTACTGATAGCCGCACATACTCCTTGATGCAACTTCACATACCCCTGGGGGTAAGCATACCACTATAAACATTTATTGTGTATGTATGTGCTTTAAGAATGCATTGATTTTATATGTATAAATAATACTTTGATTAGTTATATTGTTTACTTGATATGTATGTACATTAACTTAATTTTAAATATAAGATTATCATATTATTATTTCTAGATGGATTAGATTTTTTTTATGCAACAGAGAGTCATGCCCGTAAAATGGTTGATTTTGTGCAATCAGTACTACCAATAAAATGCCAACATTCCAAGAAGCTAATATCCCACGACATTCATAGTAATATATACAATTATAAGTTTACATTTAGCATTGAAATAGTTCCATTATCTAAGGACAGTATTGTGTGTCTTCCAAAGAAGTTAACACATCAACTGGGGTCAATATCACCCATATGTTTGGTGAATAGAGTGACCAGCACTATTCACCTCATTGATGCAAATACAGGACAAGGTATGTTTTTTTTTCCTGTTACTACATTATATCTATATATTATATGCACCACTTCTGTACTCTTAGTGTATTTTACACTTACTAGCTGACATGGCACACATTATTGTACCAAATAAATTGTTACTGGATATGGCCACACCTATCAACATATATAAAGAATAATCTACAACCATTTTTGCAGACCAACCAAATATACTCCAAAAAATTTATAAAAATCAGTCAAAACATTTCAGAGCGGTTTGGTGACAACCATTATGAAGAGTTTATGAGATGTTTAATTAACATGTAGTGCTTGTTGGCAGGTCTTGTTCACCTAACGAGCATTCCGCACCACACGAATTTTCGCACATAAATGTATTTTCTTTCTCATACCAGCCGCCATTGCCTTCACCATATTTATTTCGGAAAGCTTGTGTGAGAAAAATGGCCCTGATGAGCCCTGATAGTTTAATATAGTGGCGACCCCAATTAACATTTCTAAAGATAATGGCGACACTCGCATTTAATTCTGTTAATGAAACAATATTTATAAAAATCATAACATGAGAGTGATGAAGTTTTTATATATTTGATTATTTACAACAATTTCCATCATACGGGCACTGTGTGTAGTGTGTGACAAAATCAAATAATATAATTGATCATGTCATCACGAGATTAAACTAAAAACGCAACCTGAAATGGTTGTAGTAAAAGTATATTCTCTCTCAAGTAAAATATTATATATATTATATAGTACTATTTTTTTAAAAGAAGCTTATTCTAAAAAAAATACATTTGAAATTTCCTTCCACCAAAAAATGCTTATCTAATCACCTTCATGTGTTGTACCATATTTTTCCCACATGAAAAAGTAATATGTAGAATTGACAATGTTGTACATTATGAAGTAAACAGGCAATAGGTTTAAAATATGCTGTAAAGCGTGGTTCCTCCTCCTGGACTTGTGTCTCATCTATTTCAGTCGCCAAGCAGTTTGCATTGAAATAAGTATTTAGGCGTTTGAGTGGTCTTACAAATATCACATAATAACGTAATGTCGGTAGTGGTGTTCAAGTATATAGGCGACGGTTTCCACTTACTTTTAAGGACAGGTAGGCCAATACAATTAATAAAAAACAAATGTGCCTCTTTTATATAGTACTAATGTCTCACCAGAATTACAACACAATAACATATTTTATCATTAGTATATAAACTAATACATATGTATATCGTATATAAACACGTTAATACAGACCAGTAAATTATAAAGGTAAACAAATTTATTTATTTGTTTCAGTATGCGATTTGTCCTCCACGGTGTACTGGCGTTATCCATTCACCCCCATATGTAATCCGAAGCAGTTAGTGGAATATATAGTAATGGACATAGATATATTAAAAGAGCATGTAAGTTTCTTGTACATTGTATTATTTGTAGATAATATGAATATTAAAAAAAATATTCGTATAGGTATTAAAAAGGTTAGGCCATTCGTAAATCACGTCACATTAATTTCAGGCAATTTTACACCTGTCGCCTCCATTACTGCTGGTGACATTTTAATATAGTAAAAAAAACTTTCGTCTTTTAATACTCAAATTGAAATATGACATTACAATCTAAGATTACTCTGACCACTGGCCGTAGTCCTGAATATTAATATTTTTATACAGTTGATATTAAATTGACTTCTCAAACCCCTTGTTATACAGTGTCAAACTTTATCAAGCCTCTACCCTCTTCACTTTACCGTAATATTTGGATGGCCCCTTATTGTTATACAAAAGTTAAATCACACTATAAATTTGCATTTTCATCAGTCTAAGCTGACCTGAAGTTCACACATAAGTTTGATTTTTAGGAAAAGAAATCATTTCCCGGACAAGGGAATGTATCAAGTAAGCATGTTGTCGCAGATGTTTGGGTTGTTAGAGCTAGTGAACTTGGATTAGATGTTAATTCAATACATACGAAGACTCATCTTGGTCATATATTGAAGCCAGGCGATACTGTATTAGGGTAAGGTCAAAAGCAATTTAAATGCGATATGTATTGGCATTGGTACATAAGAAATGTTGTGTCGTCTTTACTAATTTGAAATTAAACTTGACATTTTTACAGATACAACCTCGGCAATACAAACGTTAATGATGCAAATTTCGACAAGTTAGATCGCAGTGTGGTTCCGGATGTGTTTTTAGTGAAGAAGCACTATGGAGAGAGAACAGCAAGGAGGCGGGCGCGTAACTGGAAACTCAAGCATATGGCTGAAGAGCTACATGAAGGGCTTAGCTCTTCTAATGAGTAAGAATTGTCATTCCCAAACCATATTCACACATTAACTTCTTAATACAACACATTAATCTCTACCCTTAAGAGTAGGACATACATCTATTATTACTATACCAGAAGATTTACAATGAAACAAGAATAACGTCCGGTGAAGCTGTAAAGACCAGCTGCGGCTAACAGCATGACAGTAGTCCGAAAAAAAAAACCAGAAGATTTAGTTTCTAAATTTATTTCGAGTTTATTGGCATGGAATGATTAATTTTATTCTTAGTTCATCACCATGCTAGTGGAATCGTCTTTAATTTCGATCTATCTACTTCGGTATAAATCACCTTTCCTAATTATTATTTACATCATGTCTATATCTCTTTATTGTATAGAGCACATATTTTCTTAAATGTCTTTATAAGATAATTAATGATAAAACTGGTTAATATAAATTATCTCTACCAAATTAAAAATTTCATTTGTACCTCAGATAAATAGAATATCGTAACCTTACAATGTTTTATCAATATATTAAGCTAGCGACATTTTTGACAGCTTCTGCGATCGATAATCAGATATATTTGTAGAAAGGGCATACGTATATTCTATGAAGTCTGTGGTATTGTATATCACAAAACACAAATACCACCAACAGACCGTTGAACATTCCTGTGGTAAAAAAACAATATGTTTTACATAACATATTGTACTATTTGAAGCTAAACATGCCGATATAAATGAAATTTTCATACCTACATAGATGTAATTAAGATATACCTATTTACACACAAACAAATACACGTACTCATGTATACTCAAATGCACGCGGCAACGTCGCAGGTTACAACTAGTAGTCAATAACTTTGCCCCGATCATAACTGGGTTTGATTATATTGATATACATGCTAAATATCATACTTTTGTTTCAGTGATTATAACGAGTTCCTGGATGATTTAGAAGAAGATCCTGCGTTTAGGCAGAATATTAATATATTTAAAGATGTAAATAAGATTGCTGTGGATACTGATGAGATCGACCCCACATTACCACGCATTACACTTGCTGAAATGTTAGATGATTTAACTATTGAAGATGTTGAAATGAGTGAAGTGTAAAATATTTTATATAAAATATAATATTTATGTACGTACTATTTTTATTATTATTTTAGACCCTTATTGTTTATTTTTTCTTTAGGATGAATGTATATGTGTGGCGACTTCCGTAAAGTTTTCATCTGAATGCACTTTTACGAGTGGATTATATTATGTACTATCAGTTATACATAGCATCTGGTTTAAAGTTTTTGGTAACAATGAATCCAAAAATACTCGAAATAGTTCAATGATTTAAACTTTTTAATTCAATCAATAATATTTTTATGTGTACAATCTAAATACATTTTGTTGAGTAGATGATGGGCGTATAGTGTTGTGTACCCCCCTACGAGTCCCAAATTTCCATCGTGGTGAATACACCAGAATTTAATCACAATGCTTTCCAGGCGAATCACGTTGAGGTGGCCCCGAAATTGCGAACAATGGAGCCATTTGTCCCGCAATGCATTGGAAAAAGAGTATTAGAAAAAAAGGAATCTATTACTATCAATGTCTAGGCAATGCATGTTATACCTTGTGTGAACCTTATAAAACTGTCTACACACGACTCTAAAATCAGAATCAATATTGGAGCAGTGTTGGTTGGGATAAAATCGAGTCTGCGGGACTCCAAACATGTAAATCGACCCAGATTCGTTACACATCAAGCGATCCAATTTACTAATTCGTTACGTTACTTACGTTACCCCTGATTTTATTGTCGTGTATAGGCTGTTTTCCTTTCAATCAGATGTACCTATTTCTATTAATCAAGCTCTATTAGGTAGGTACAAAAATGATTAGTGTGTAACTGGGCAAATACATTACGTAGGAAAAAGTGAGGACATGATGTTTTATTGATAATGCTGTATCACAAGATAATACTGAGATGAGATGATTATTTTACAGATATATAAAACTGTGTTCGACTCATGCTACTTATGGACGATCATAAATTTCATTTATTATATATATAATACCGTATACGCGTTCCACAACCCGCATCGACAATACTAGCTGTAAATTATAAAACAATCTAGATACATATCTGCATAACTTACATTAAAAATAATTTCGCGTAGATACGGGACTAAGTAAGCCAGATTACTTTAGTATTTCTTATCATTCAGAGTCGAACGATTGATCAGTCAACATGAAGGTTTTCGTGTTATTATTTATGATAATATGTTCGAGTACAGCAAAGCAACTTGTAAGTCTAGGTAAGTAAAAAATACTAAACTATAGTGACAAAATTAGAGAACCTACTACTGCTATTCTCAGTTTCCTACAATTTAAAATCTCGTAACATATGAAAAAATATAATGTTTATTTTTTTTTTATTTCGCTTGGTTTACGCCTTATGATGGATAATAGGTAGGTATAGTTGCGTCCCAACACGCACTTTACCGTTTTTCTTTATTACAGATGAAAGCCAAACATTATTTAAAAAGTATATGTTAAATCAGTTAAACGAAACCGAAGAAGCTTCGTTAAATGCAATATTTGACATATTCTATAGACCTGAACCTATAACAAGTAGATCGCTTGAAAATCGTAGTGCTGCTAGACTGGTGAGTGTCATTATTATTACATTAATACGTGACGCAAAAACCATTTTACAAAAATTGTGTCGAGGGAGGAAAATGAAATTTCACACGTTTATCTATATGAACGGAAGAATTCATTACAATTTTCTATAAAAAAGGAGTGCAGAATACTAATATTATATAAGTAGTTATATATTCACGTATCCTCAGTAGCAAATTTTTAATAGCTCTTTTTTTAAAATAAAAAATTCTATACCTACAGGGATACTTAAAACTTAACTTAAATGTTACTCCAAATTTAACATAGGATACAGCTTTTACCTAATCAATATTCACACATAATATTTTTACTTGTATGTAAGTTACTCAATGAGTATCTACTCATAGTTATATAAAAATTACATGTTTTATAACTTTGTAACGATTTACCCCTAGGACTTGAAAGGTCTGCTGGTCGTCGGACCGTTAAAGATTGTCGTTGATATAAAATAAAAGCGAGATCTTGTCTATAATAAATTTTTATTTACAAAATACCTAGTCGTCAGCCGTTTGTTGTATCAGTCTGTCATCAATTGTTCCGTCTATGCTAGTTATTATATTATAAGCGCAAGCAGTCTTGTCAAATCATCTCCTCCAATATTGGAAACTCCAGTTAGGTCAGCGAGCTGCTTATAGTGATGCCAGAATCGTCGCAGTACTTCTCTAAATTTCCAAATACCTACGTGAGGTAGGTATTTATAAAATTGACAGCTTGATTATGTACATTTCGATCACAATTGGATAAGGATCAAATACAACCTGTATCTAGGCATCAGCATACTTGTGATTCTCAATAAATACTTACAAATATAATACGTGCAATCAGCTATGTAAAGGTGGAAACAAACATCATGATATTACATTTCTTATCAACTATTTAATTAATCGTATGTTTATAACGTCAGAATAGAAACAACCTGAAGTTAATCGAAAATATTTACATTGTCTGTCATCATATCAATCTAAAAACTTCTCCCACTGCTGACTGCATCATTTCCTCGTTGCTTATTCTATATAATAAAACTTTACTACAGGCTACCAGAGGCCTGGATTACGAAAGCTTTGCCATGATAAGACGAAATTAGAAATTACGTCTATTTTATAATAGTAGGTATATATATATAATGTTTTTTTAATGGTATATTATGAAGGTGTCTCACTATTTCATTAGTGTTGTGCTTGTGATGGTAGGTGAATAGCAGTTAGGGATTTAAAGTCACCGATCAAAAGACAAAGTAGGTAACAAAGGGGAGGTTCAGTAATGTTTTATGCCTGTATAATCACTGATTATGTTTAATATTAAGAAAACATGCCGTCATGTATGCAGTGCGTGGTGATAGGCATTATGTATAATAATTTTAAATTCTTCCGTATGTTCAAGTATACGAGTAGATTGCATACTTAACTTTTTTCTATCAATTATTAATTAATTTGGAAATTTACGATCACGTATTCAAACTAATTACACCGAGCTGTTTATACAGTAGATAAGTTTAGAGAACTTCGGTGATCTAGAGATTTAGCACCCCGGTTAACTTCAAATGCCAGTTCGATTCTCCGCACGATACAAATAGTTTTAGGCATAAGTCTGATTGTTTGTATTGGCCTGGATGTTTTCTATGTGTTTTCTGTATGTATTTACAAAAACGTATTTAAAAGTATTTCTATTAATTGTGAAACAAAACAACAATGAATTTTCCAGGGTTCATGACTGGTTGATGAAACTTTATCCTCAAATATTTACGCATTGCAAATTATACTTACTGTATGTTTCAGAGTATTGATTGTATAGTATGTAGAAATGCTATTGGTGCATTTTTTCAAATAATACAAGAAGGCCAAACTGAAGAAGAAGCTACGGATGTTATAACAACGTTGTGCACGTCGTTAGGCATTGAAAATTATAATGTCTGCAGAGGAGCTGTTGCATTGAATATAGTAAATATACATATATTAATATATAGGTTTTTTAATTGATGATAATGAAATCGCACCATTCCATTATTATCCAATTAAAAAACGTAGATATCGTAAACCGTGAATAATGTTGATGAAGTTAGGTCAGTAATCCTATTGTAATGAATTCACCATAAATTTATCACGGTTTCCAGGAGTAAGGTCAGCCTGATAAGGTAGGTATATTATTAGCAGTGTCCCAATTACTAACATTCCTTTTCTCCATCACATTGGTAGTTAAACGTGAATAAAACTACAGATGCCCTTTTATTCATAAAAATGAGATGTGCAAACACGCGTTTTTAAATATTTAAATTGCATTGTCTTTGTATTTCAAGTGTATTCGTAATTAAATATAACGCGGCCAAACAACCTAATAGTAAAATATGTTGGTATCAAATATTATTGTTTATTTTTAGCTAGTCTACACAGTCATTGCTGGCTGCACCTGAGATTTTATTTAGACCTACTTATATTGAAAAAACAATTGTACATCATTATAATTATCATACTACAACAATAACGTCTTATCGAGTTATTATCATGTATCAATCACCTAATTTGTAATTGTATGAAGACACGTTGCTAATAAATATTGGTAAATAAATCAGGCTATATTTTGTAGGGTAAAAGCGGGTAATCCCGGTCAGGCGACAATACCGGTCAGCACACTATCTCGCAAAATATTTAGTTTGCCCGAACGCACACATGCAAAGACGGTGGCTTGATTATTCCCTCGCCCGATGTACCAACCCCCGTTCAGTTCCGACCACGCATCATTGAGAGCTAGACGAGTGTTTGTTTCTAGATATTTTGTTATAACTTTTTCATAGGATATAATAACACGTAAGTATCAAAATATTCATATTCCGTTAACTTTTTATATTTTTATTTGTGATTTAGTCATCTAGCTATCGATGTGATTAGATATTTAAAGCAATTTGCAATAACTTTTTTCTTAAATTATTATTAACCTGAAAAAATCATAGATGGGTAATGCCGGTCACGCTGATCGGTATTACCCGCAAGGCAGTACACAAGTACATTAGTAGTTGATATTTATTGTAAAAAATAAGAGTTATTTTTAAACCCCCGACCAAAAAGAGGAGTGAAAACTGCTACAAGAAAAAAATAATGAAAGTTCATCTAATTCAGAAATTGAAATTGACCGACGTACGGGATGATGACGACACTAACGATATAAAAAACAAGTGCATTCTATGCCATGATTACGGCCACAATAGTGAATTGTGGTATAGGTGCGTTTGTTGTGGGCTTTGAGCTCATGCTGAGTGTTCGGGTTGTGACTCACCCGAAGGATACATCTGCGATTTATGCCGCTAAATGCTTGACCGGTATTGCCATCCTAGTGACCGACATTACCCGCCACTACATGGCAATACCGGTCAAAACCCTTTTTTTTTTAAATGTTTATTTTTATTTTATTTTCAAACATATTGATCTCGTTAATGGTGATAAATATAGAAGGATACATAAAGTTATGTTGTATTAATAATTCCGAAATAAAAAGTTGATTTTATTATATTTTTTGTTATATTTTCCTTAGGTGACCGGCAATACCCCTCCTTACCCTACCTATCCAAGATAACGTTCTTAGACAATATTTAGATAAGTAAGAAATATCTAGCTATTATATGCTGCTGCAAATAAAAAGTTGTGATTTTGTTGTTAGGATTAGCATTATTTTTTTATTTTTTAGCCTATTTGGTATTGGCATAGAAAAGCTATATCCCATTAGGATTCTCGAATAAAAAAATTCCCGAAAGCATAAATTTTTGCTCTCCTAGTCGACTCTTACCTACATTGTGGGAATGAAAATTTCTGGCGAAATTGTTACCCAGCTTTTTTAATGGATGAACATAGAATCGTTCATTCGATTCAATACAAATCAAAAAGCGCTTGCGACGTGTTCACATGTTAGTGATGAATGAAACGTTTGTAGTGGTTTAAGAATCTTAATTAATAAATATTTATATCTTTCAGCCGATCTTCGCCCATATCATTAGAAATGTCCCCGAAGCAACGCCACAAACCTTTTGTGGCTTAGTGTTCCAAACAGCAACTGATAGTAATTTTTGTCCTATAACTGATCCACGATTTGAATGGGAAGTCCAATTGCCCGACCGACCCGAGTCAGTTAATGTAAGTATCTCCTTATAATTGAACTTGACGGACATGGTTATGGATTGTAGATAATCGCAATACCTTTCAAATTTAATCTGTTTATAAATAACAAACAATTCCTGCAGTGTTGTATGCACAATGGAAGTCCCTACCCTCTTACGTGGGTCATAACAGATGAATTCTATAGATGAGATGAGCATGGCTCACTCGCCAGTTTGAGTAGCACTCAAATATTTAACAGCTTAATATAAATGGTTTTCTCAATTCGATTCTATTTACTTTAAAAACTTTGTTACTTTAGAACTCCGTCATTTCCAAACCGATTTGTAACATAATTTTTATGTTAGAAAGGATATCTTTTCAGATGTTCTAATTGGCATTGAAATCGGTTTAGATAATTTTATTGGTAGAAAAATGTATTTAGTGGTTGTCATACGGTGTTATTATCTGATAATGAATAATGTTGATGAAATCGTAATAATACAAAGTTACCTTGAGGTGTTATTATTATAATAATTAATTAGACGTTAATAGTCCTTTTTTTATACCAAATGACTACTGCGGTACTGTTTTAATTTCAGACACCACAAATCGACCCAAGACCATTAAGAGTAGCCGTGATCACGGATGTACACCTTGACCCACTCTATGAGGCTAACGGTGTTGCAAATTGTGATGAACCAGTATGCTGCAGGTTTGGCCAATCGCCTGCTCAAAATTATATTTACCGATCTAATGTGGACGAGTCTCTTTATGACCGAAGTATTGTAGACGTGGATGGCAATGTAATGCTAAATTTAAGTGTAGCATCAGACATTAGGCAACAAAGAATGTTATCACAAACAAGACACGCAAATACTAGAGATACATCTCCAGCCGGTTATTGGGGTGATTATAGAGACTGTGATACACCTTTGTGGGCATATGACGATGTCATTGAGACCATAGCAGAGACCCATAGAGTAAGTAAACGAAATATATTTAAGTTATTTTATAATATTATACATGCGAAACTTGTGAAAAAAAAAAGTGAGTATGGATGGATGTTTGTTACTCTTTATTACTTATTACTTATACATCAGAATAACATACAGGCTATGAATTTCACGCGGGTGAAACCGCCGGCACAGCTAGTATCTTTATAGAGGAAAGCGTTGTATCCTATGAGTGGTTTACTACGCAGACTTTTGTTTGATCTCCAAGCGGTTCCCCTGGTGATAAACTCCTGATGAATTTGTCACGATGACCTGACCTGATGCTCATCTTATCATCCTCCAGAGCAATCCGTTAGCGCAGGTGGGCGCACCATTATGCATGCACCTACGAGTAATATATTCACTCGTAAGTGCGTGCGGATCCAATCCAAATTAGAATTATATTTACAAAATGTACCTACACATTTCAGGGTGTAGATATTATATATTACATTGGAGATACAATTGATCACGGTGTTTGGGAAACATCGTACGAGCTGATCAATAATATGAATTTGTATTTAATAGATAAAATAAGGAAAACTTTTGGTGACGACGTTTTAGTCGTACCTGTTATTGGTAATCATGAAGCCCAACCTACAAACCAGTGAGTACCAATGAATATAATAATAATATTTATTTCGACACATAATAATCTAGAACGAACAATATTATAAAAGTAACATGTACATGATATTACTGTTTTTAAACTTTTAATTAACAACACTTAATCTAGTTATAACATTATCAATCATTGAGTTCAAGTGAGTTTTAAACCCTGACCCACCTATAAACTAGGTTAAGCTTATAATGGTATCAGCAGCGTACCAGTAAAAAAGCGATGCCTCAGACTGTAAAAATAATACATTGTGCTAAAAGTAAGTACTACTAGACAAATAAAGGTTTTTTTAGTTATGACCTATGTTGTTGTCCGTCACAATCTTTATTCGACACTAAATGTTCTCTTTACAAAAATATATAATAAAATTCTTACAAAACAAAAATGTTTTCAATATAAAACTATATGGCCAGTACGTCAGTAACAACAACCTATGTATGTACATAATAAATTTAGAAAAATTCGAAACATACATGCGAACTCGATTGACACACACGAGGTTTGGGGAACCGTCATATATTAAAATATATATTCTTTTAGATTCGCACCTTCATATATCACGGGTGAGAAGTTAAATACGACATGGCTTTATGAAGCCTTAGCAAATAAATGGGATCATTATTTAACCGAGGACGCGAAAGTAACATTGCTTGATCGCGGTGACTTCTCAATAGTGGCTAGACCAGGACTCAGAGTTATTTCGCTAAATAATAATGTGGCATACAGATTCAATTGGTAAGGAAATAAGTGTATAACTATTAATACTATAAATTAATACATACAATTTTTGTATGACATATATTATGTTTATGTTCTATAGATTTTTAATATGTTTTATTAAAACTGAACTGTTTACGAACCAATAACATTGTTTCCGATATTTGTCTATTTTATTCTGGGAGGTATGCCAATCAATATTTATATATACCGGTATCATGTAACGTCTCTATAACAATTGTTATATAAGTCTATGTTAAAATAATAACATTAGCAGTGCTTATAAAACTGCATCGCCGCTCGCCCTTGAGTCAAAAAATGGTACTAGCTATATTACCATTTGAAATCCGTTGTGCTTCAGTCATTTTCTCGTGAAAATGTAATAAATACTGCAAGACTACTGATTTAGGTTTCATTATTTATTTCTAGTTTTTACAGCCTTATCTAATTTCCAAGAAAAAATATTGTAGACTCTTCAACCTTCATGATCTCATAATACTATCTATAGTTTCTTTATGTATCTTTAGGTGGTTAGCATGCGATCCCGCGGATTCCAAGAAACACTTGGATTGGTTAGTTGACGAGCTGCACAAAGCTGAACTAGCTGGCGAGAAAGTACATATATTGACACACCTTCCAGCTGGAGTAAATGACCTTATTTATACTTGGACAAGAGAGTATAATAAAATCATTAACAGGTATGACCTATATAATACTCTCTTTTCTAAGGTTGTCTGGAAGAGATTGCGTTAGCGAAAAGACCGCCTTCTGTACCTTCTTCTTTCTTTAATGTATTGTTATATATTATTTTCTTTTTATGTATCTACTTTTAATATTGGTGCAATAAAGAATTATAAATAATACTACTTACTGACGCGATAGATAGACCCGATCCATTACCTTGTAAGTCGAATATCCGTAAGTCGGCGTAAGATTAATTTTATTTTTGTTTGTTTGGGCGATATATTTTTAGAAACAAGAGTTTATAAAAACAACTTGTTAGTAAATTAGTCCCACGTGATTACACGTTCAAACCTTCGTAAACTGGACTGAGTGACTGGAGTGGGATGTGAGAGTCGAGGATATACGCCGTTTAAGAAAAAACATCGCATATATCACTACATTAAAATAAGGTTTCGGTCATGTTTACATACAGTTAAATAGTATACATAGTTATTTATACTTTCACGAAAGCAGTAATTTGCTTGTTATCCTGATTATGTAATCAAATCATAAATTGATATACACAGTTCACAAATGATTACACCTTATATATTGATATAAATAAAAAACGAGTACATTCTTATTTCTTCTGCTCACTCAAGTGAGCAGAATAGTCACTATAGTGCTCTTATAGCTATATCAGACATAAAATAAGTTTCCATCTCTTCATCTTTCATCATTTATATACAATATAACTAATCCTATACATAACTACACAAATAATTTCCAGATTCTCAGCAACAATTACAGCTGAATTCAATGGACATGTCCACTCAGACGAATTTAAAGTATTCTACAGTTTAACTGATGGCACACCTATAAATGTGGCATGGGGCGGCGGTAGTGCTACTACTTACAGTGACTACAATCTAAATTATAAAATAATCGATTTCGATTCGACAACTTTCGTAAGTATTTTTGGTACCCAAATTAAGAAAACAAAATTTATCTTTATTTATTATACTTGTAAAATGGGGACCAAGAACACAGTAAAATAACCTGCCTGTATTTTTTAGTTACCCGAAAACATCGTGAATTATATCTACAATATAACAGAAGCTAATCTAACACCGCACCTCCGCCCGCATTGGTTCCAACTTTATGACATGCGAACTTCATTTGGAATCACAGACCTATCAGCGGCTTCAATCAGTGATTTAGTTTATAGGATGCCCGTTGAAACTAGACTCTTAGATTTATATATAGCTTTTTATTCTAAATTAAGTGACAATAGGTGGCCATTTTGTAACACTGAATGTAAACTTAATAATCTTTGTAAAATAGTAGTCACAGTGCTTTGGGAACGAGAAAGATGTGAGGAACTGAGGAACTTATATTATTCAACCAACTGATTACTTTTTGTATATTCAAATAAAAACTGTTTAAATAAATAGGCTTTAAATTTATTTATCAACACTAACAATGACCTATATCTTATACACATAGCTAATGATTAACTATACTTAACCAAGCAATATCTGGTTTCCATTTCAAATCTTGACCAGGAATTTTATCTAAAACAGATACCTGAAAAAAGAATAGTTGATTATCGTTTTATGAATAAAAATATTTTTGCAGCAACAATCAACTCAGGTTACATGATTTTTTATGTAAATTTTTATATATTATTGCAATAGTAAGCAAACTGACTATGTAGTGTTACATCTACGACATCGCCTAACTATGTAGTATATAGTGGTTTGGCTAATACTACTAATATTAATTGCATCAAACTTAAATATTTTTCATAATACCAAAATGAATTGTCTCCCAAAAAATATAATTTATAACAAAGTAATAACTGTATTCTAATAATAACCTGGTGTCTAATAAAGTTCACTATTTTTTCAACATTTTCTGCTTTGGCATCATCTGAAAGTGAATAAAATCTTCTCCAAATTGCTGCTGCAAGTACTCTATCATCGCTGAGTCCTTCATCATATGCAACAAGTGCTGCTTGAAATTGTTCTGATAATTCTGATACTTGTTTTCTAGCTATAGCTGGATTTGCTCCCTGAGAAAATTATGAATATGCAATATATTTCAGAGTTCTACTATTCAGATAGTTCAAAATGAAATTTGTGTACATACTAAACTTATGAATATTTTAATGTTAGCCAAGTTAATATATTATATGTATATTGTTTCTTAAAATTGTGAGATAAAATTTACTGAAAAAGAGGAGGTATAGTTACTATTTTTCATTAGATAATAATAGTTTCTACTGCCCCCTCATTCAGTTTTCTTTTCATGTATGGTTAATTAGTAAAAAAACACTTACACAGGAATAGATGTAACAAACCACCAATCTATAATTACCCTTTCTGTTTTAAATTTAATGTGTAATTAATATAATATGTATGGGTTATTTCTAATATTATTAGTTACTTATTACATATTTACCACTTTAATAAATAATAATGTTTTACCTCTAATAATTTTATTTTATTTCCAACATCAGCCCATAAGGCTTCTATTATACAATTTCTAACAAAATGTCCATCACCCTTAATATATTTATTTTTTTCTGCCTTTGATACAGTGATATCTTCTGCCATATAGCGCACCATGAGAATCCAAACATGTAGTTCTGTTATAATAAACCATGATGCAAATGTATCTGGGAGTTCCAAGTTTTCAAACCAATCCTTGTATGCCACTTTGTCAGGCACACACTCATAGAGAAAATATCCAGTTAGTTTCAAACGCTGAAAATATATATCGTATTTGTAATCCTATAATTTAAATATCTATTCATTATTCCAAATCATCTACAGAACTGTTAAACACCTGCATATTTTATTGTTTTATTTTAATGTTTTTATATTATCATATTACAAAATAATCCTATCTATTATGGCATAGACAACAGGGAAAGGATTAATATTTCTAAGATATTTTTACATATATTGTATACAATTCAAAACAGTAACTGATATTTATACATTTAAACTTATATTTCCTGTAGTGGCACAATTTATTATCATAGGCCATGTATCAACTGACACTATAACTGAAGTACATAATGTATAGCAAACATATTGAAAAAATTGCAGCACTGCTGATATTTTATGTAATATTTAGGTTTAATGCTCATCATACATTATGATGAAAATGTAATATCATAAATAAAACAGTAGAAAGTTCAGGATTACTTAATATGTATTCTGAGGAATGGCTTGGATCTATTTTTAATCCAGATAATCAACTACAGTAGAATATGTAATATAGACTGTGTAGTTTTATTACACAATTTGGTAATATATTGTGATGCAAAATATGAACTCACTGTTCTGGACTGGTCCATCCAACCCACTGCTTTCATAAATTTTTTAATATAGCCTTCTTCAGCTGCAACAGTGCTTTGTAATCTCACATTTCTGAAATCGTTTTGCGGTTGCCTGACTTGATGAACACAGGATTGGACTCGAATATTTTTTAAATATATATGTTGTTGCCGCGCAGTCTGTAAGTTATATTATTATCTAATAAATCTATAATTATTTCAAAGTTTTTGATGGGATATTGATAAGTTTTTAGTTGTCTAAATAATGTGAGAATTAATAAGGACTATTAAATTCAGGTTTTCAAACATTTACTTACGCGAGACAAAGAACGCATTTTATACATTATGTAAATAAAATAAAATATTTCATTTCAGTAATTTAAAATTAGCAAATAAAATGACATACACCCTGGAGAAAACTTATATTGTTTTTTTTTTCTATGAGTAGTTTTCGGCTCTGGATATTCCCTTTCAGTCAAACAGTCACAAACAGACAGTGTAGCCATATGACAGTTTCTTTCCATACAATTCTCCTTTTTTCAACGAGTCTAAAAACCTGATGTATTTCCTTGATCCTTCTGATGTATCGATTCAACATTCATTCACCGCGAATTTTTGGCGTTACCACGAAAGAACATGGGAGGAGAATCTCTAAACTGGAATCAGATTACAATCCATAGACCAAATAAATTATCTTTTTATAAATTATATGACTATATGTTTGATTAGACTAAAAATGTATGTTTTATTACCAAATTTTTATAAAGAGAAAGTACTATTTGGTATACCAATCAAATTTTGATAGGGATCTAATACTATTCTTATTATAAATATAATGTAATATTGTTAATAATATTTATATATTATAGTTTCATTTTTAATGTGTCAACCAATTCGCCTCTTTTATAACTGTGACTGACTTAAACACCGACAAAAGTTGGTAACACTGGAAAAATTTATTGATTTGTCTATTGGAAATTTAAGGTTACATAATTTCGGGCGGACGTTGTCTCTAATTTTTCGCCCAAGTGCTCTATTTAATTCAAAATGTTGGGGGCAGTAAGTAGAGTTGGAAGCGGGTTTTTAGCTGCTAAAGGAGTCGCCGAAAAAGCCATCAATGAATGCGGGAAAGTTGCTGCAGTCACCGTTAACAGCAAAAGAGATTATGCAGCCAAAGCGGGCAAAGGACAAGGTAAGGTGGTTGCAGTTATCGGCGCTGTCGTGGATGTACAATTTGAAGACAATCTACCACCAATTCTAAATGCTCTCGAGGTGCAGAATCGTACACCAAGGCTCGTGCTCGAAGTGGCGCAGCATTTGGGTGAAAATACTGTCCGCACCATTGCTATGGACGGTACTGAAGGTTTGGTCCGTGGTCAACCTGTAAATGACTCTGGCTCGCCAATCCGTATTCCTGTGGGAGCTGAGACCCTCGGCCGTATCATTAATGTTATCGGAGAACCCATTGATGAACGTGGCCCCATTCCGACTGACAAAACCGCTGCTATTCACGCTGAAGCTCCCGAATTCGTCGACATGTCTGTACAACAAGAAATTTTGGTCACTGGTATCAAGGTTGTAGATTTATTGGCTCCATATGCTAAAGGTGGTAAAATTGGCTTGTTTGGCGGAGCTGGTGTGGGCAAGACTGTATTGATTATGGAGTTGATTAACAATGTTGCTAAAGCTCACGGTGGTTACTCTGTATTTGCTGGAGTAGGTGAACGTACCCGTGAAGGCAATGATTTATATCATGAAATGATTGAGTCTGGTGTCATCTCACTCAAGGATAAAACATCCAAAGTAGCTTTGGTATATGGTCAGATGAATGAGCCCCCAGGTGCTCGTGCCCGAGTTGCTCTAACTGGATTGACTGTTGCCGAATATTTCCGTGACCAAGAAGGACAAGATGTACTACTTTTTATTGACAACATTTTCCGTTTCACTCAGGCTGGATCTGAAGTGTCTGCTCTGCTGGGTCGTATTCCCTCTGCCGTAGGTTATCAGCCAACTCTAGCCACTGATATGGGTACTATGCAAGAACGCATTACCACTACAAAGAAAGGTTCCATTACATCTGTGCAAGCCATCTATGTACCAGCTGATGACTTAACAGATCCCGCTCCTGCCACCACATTCGCTCATTTGGATGCTACCACTGTATTGTCTCGTGCTATTGCAGAATTAGGCATTTACCCTGCTGTGGACCCTCTTGATTCCACATCCCGTATCATGGACCCCAACATTATTGGTGCTGAGCACTACAATGTTGCACGTGGCGTTCAGAAAATTCTCCAAGATTATAAATCACTCCAGGACATCATTGCTATCTTGGGTATGGATGAGTTATCTGAAGAAGACAAGCTGACTGTTGCTCGTGCACGTAAAATCCAAAGGTTCCTGTCACAACCTTTCCAAGTGGCGGAAGTTTTCACTGGACATGCTGGTAAATTGGTACCTCTTGAGGAAACAATCAAGGGCTTCTCCCAGATTCTCGGGGGCGAGTATGATCATCTACCAGAGGTTGCCTTCTATATGGTTGGACCCATTGAAGAAGTTGTTGCAAAGGCTGAGACCCTTGCTAAGAATGCTTAATTATCATTGTTATGGATGGAAGAGACAGTAATTGTATTTCTAAATAAATAGTAATATTTAATCATTTATTTCTTTTTTTCTAACATTTAACTACCACGAAGGTACTAATTTATAAAAAAAAGTATTACATATATTCATGTATATATACATATATATATATATATATATATATATATATATATATACCTAAATATATTTATTATTGTAGCTTTCTCTTTTTTCATTTCTAGGTGTAAATGTGTTCTCTTTTATGTAATTCATTATCTATGATACATTGATATGCATAATTAAATAACCAGCATGTTTTGCTAGTTGATATATGTTTTATATGCATATTATTATTAAGAATTATTATGAACTTGTATGAACAAGGAGTGTATCATTGAACATGTCCCGTAACAGATATTTTCAATGACAGACCGATGTAGCCTACTGAACTGATTTTTCACATATATTGTAGATCCATAATGAGACTGAGTACATATGAGAAAGACCATTACTAAGTTTGGCTAGTTGGAGTATTTTTTTGAAGAATATAAATTACCTACTTATCAAATTCAGTAGTTTATCAAGTTAGTCTAGTCAGAAAGATTAGTTCCAAGTCCACATGCCGAAAAATTAAAGTACCTATACTAGATTAGAGTCCATCATGAGTGATAAAATCACAAGCCAAATATGTCGGGTACATTTGGTGAAGAACCTGTTCTCTATAAGAACTATATTGCCATTTAAGTTTATGCTATTATGGAAAGATAGCAAAACACAATTTTATATTTAAGTTTTTAAATAATGCAGTTATCATAGATACTAGGTCACTATTAGGCGCTATTAGACAGTCTGTATGGTCTGTGATCACTATTATTATTGCCGAGGTAAACTTTGTAAGATCTCCGAGTGGATACCTCACTGTCTTCTATTTTCATGGTCAAATATCTTGCTTTGTAAGATATTCCAGTTGCCGGGAAAGATAAGCTATGAAATTATATAGTAAGTGGCTTGACATGAGATCTTAGTGTTCCGGAATGGCAACAGTGTGTGGTACAAGTTATTATGTAACGCCTGAGATACCTCTCAGGCGTTACATAATAACTTGATGTTTGTAGCCACTACCACTTACCATATTCACTAATGGGTGTTTTTTTTGGATGCTTATGGAACGGTGCGCCACTCGCATTAATGATTTACGCTGACGAAATGATCTCAGGTTAGTTTCACGTGGCAATTTTACTAGGAATTAAACAATACTTTCTAGGGAGGATGGCATGGTGGTGAATTTTACCTGATATAGAACATTGTCCCATGGTGGAAATGGGGACAGTAGTCTCTAATACTCAAAATCTTGCGGGCCCCTGCCCCTCGAAATAATGAGTTAACTCACGAGTACCGGCGAGTTTGATGTTGATTGAAAGTTATTGTCATGTGGAGCAGTGAGGATCATTTAATCAAAGACTTATATGAAAGGACAGAAAGAAATAAGGACAGGAAGATGTAAAGACAATTACAAACGTCACTAATATACATATTCATTTTAAGTAGTTATGTTAGATAACCGTCCGATAGATAGGTATCTGTTACATGCTTTTATGTTCAGCATATCGTAAGGGTAGTCAAGAACAAATATATCAGAGATAGAGATTTTTTGAATTCATCATACTGGACTGATGCACCCATCTAAATTAACAGTGGAGGATGACAGCATGAACCTGAAATGGGGTTAGTTAACTCAACGTGGCATCAATTCACCATGAATTAACCACGACAGTTTCCATGGGGAACCGTGAGGAGGTTATTACAATGTTCGTAACAGGGCTATTATTAACAATTGCCTCCCCCTGAAAAAGAAGTAAAACTCTAAACGATAGGGAATAAAAATAAATTAGCCGCTTAGCCCTCACCACACAGTTGTGAGGATTGTGAACACAGGGCAGTTTAGAACGAACACAGATGTCTAGTTTAGATACTATATTTGTAATATTTTCTAAGTTAACAATTAAAACAAAAAGTAACAGTACAATTCTGTTCGTTTTTTTGACGGAAAACTGATGGTGAATTTATCTCGAAATATCATCGTCATTTACAATTTTGTTTTTACATTGATTATCTAAAATCTCATTCTTAACTACATTTGTATCTGTTTTGGATACTAACTGTTCTTTAACACATGTATCTTTTTTAAATAGATTCTCATTAGAATTAATTTGGTCACTTATTTTATTTGTAGTATCTGGCTTTTCGTTTTCATTACATTTGTTAGAAGTGATTACATTTCCATTTATTTCACTTGCATTGTTACTAATGGTATCCAACGCAGTTGTAGACTTTGTTGCACATTCTACTTTGGGAACTTTCACTACTACTACTTGATCAGATGTTTTAATTTCGTTTACTGTAGCATTTTTAGAAGGATCTTTCAATTTTATGGTTTGGAATTTTAGAGGCGAACTTGCAGCTGTTATTCCATCTTTACTTCTGCTGATAGGCTTTATGACTAAAATTTTTGTTTTCATACCAGCTTTTGTGAAATCAGTGATATTTTTATTGATTAAAGGATTTTTAATAACTTCTAAGCTCTGACGACGAAATTTTATAGGAACAACTGCGGGTATATTTAAATTGGTTTTAATTGTTTCACATAAGGCTTTGTTTGCTTGTTTTTCATCTTTATTCGACTTAGAATTGTCACCGGTTTCTGTTAATGGAGTTTCTACTTCACTGGTTTCACTTTTTTTTGTACTATCTTCTATATTATTTTTTACAGGTTCTTCTGTAATATTTTTCGAATTTTTTACATCTTTATTCGAACTCGGTATTTCTTTTACAAAATCGACATCCTTTTTAGGTGACAATTTATCACACTTAGAAACAATTTTAGGTAACATAGGTCGAACAAATATATTTGAAGGTCTTGTCTCCTTTTGGATACTCGCAGAAAAATTTGTGGCTTTCATATGTGCAGATGCTTTTCCTACAGCCGCCTTAGATAGCATAGCTAATGCCCCAGAACAATCTTTATTTGCATTGTCATAATAATTTTGATTTTCTTGTGTTGTTCGTTTCTTGCTTTGAGTATATTTGGCATTAGCAACTGATTGGGAATCTCTATAACCTTGGGCTTCCATTTTCAATAAATTTGATAAATCATACTCAAAGTCTTCGTTTTTAGGTTTTGTTTTTTTACGAATAGGCCTACGAGAAGCTACAGATGAAGTTAATTCAATAGGTTTCTTGACTATCTTCTCATCGAGCTCTTCCACATCTGAAGAATTTTCTTCAAAAGTTTTAATTGTGGAAGATGAATCATTTTCTGGGAATGAAGTCTCCATTGGCACATCAGCTTTCAGCTCGTCATCATCATCTAAAACAAAGACAACAATAATAAATATGTATAATAATAGCAATATCATCTTTATCACTAATTATTTATGTACAAACATATAATATGAATTTACTCATTAAATTATATCAATTTATATAATTTTACTGTACTTGTGTTTGTTATCTTACTACTCCTAAATGATTGGATGGATTTGGATATTTTGTGTCTATATTTTAATGAGTTCCTGGATGGCCCGAAAATAAAATTACACCCGGTAGGTGGCGCTGCTTTTTCGGGCAGCATGACATAGGTTTCTGGTAGACGTCGCAAGAGCGGTGAGTGGGCATGTATTACATAAATTTTATTAATTCTATCTTTCTCGCTCTCGTTGCTATGCCACGACACCCTGCTCTTCACATGTTTCATACATACAACCTTGCTTATTTTTAACTAAAATCGAGAGCATATCCAGCGCATGTTCTATTACGATATGACACTTGAACAGTATCAGCTCACGTCCACGCTCAGCTCAAATCCATCCAACCATATAGGTATGAAAAAATTTTTCAATTTGATAAAAAAAAAACTTCTTACCGTTATTTACAGTTTCCTTTTTCCTTTTAGAATATTGATTTCTAGTTTGATTCAATTTTCTCTTCTTGGACCCTGCTTCCATTCTAGTACTACTTGATGAACTATCATCAGATAAACGACTCGAGTCACTGGAACATCTACTAGGACGTCTAGAATCAGGACTTTCATTATTATCATTTAATTCATCAATTACTTCAGATAGTTCCAATGCTTCAGAACCATCAATAGCCTTCACGGTACTAAAATAAAAATCTGTATCACCTTTTAATTTGTGAACAGTTTTGACATGTTCTGGAAGCTTTTCAAATTCATAATTCTTAAAATTACACAATTTACAAGCATAACGCATCCACTTATAGTGAGCAGCCATGTGGTCATATAGTTCTTGTATATTATTATGTTGAATCTCGCACCTTTTGCATAGGTTCTTTGATATGTCAATATCAGGTTGTATCTTTTGTTTGAATGCTGCTAAGTTGCTTTTCTCGGGTTGATGAGCAAAAGGTAATTTTGACATTTTAGGAATAAAAATTGGCTTTGGTCTTTCACTATCTAGAGATCTACATTTATTATCAGAGTTTTGATCATCTTCAGATTTATTTGGTGTGGTTTCTTCTGATTGTTGACCTGATGTAAGATTTTCTTCAGTTTTATTAGCCTTGACTGGTGACTGACCTTCAGAAATCATTTTATTTTCTGAAAAAAAATGAGATTTTTCTAAATTACGTGAGTGTGGTTTTTTAAGAATACCTAATCATTAATGAAGAGTTTATAGAGGATCGTGAAAATCTAGCAAGTGAAGGCTAGAATAATGCAATTATGTGGGTCAGATTGATCCGATACGTCAAATAGAAGAAAAAGAATGTGTGACAGCGTCCTATAAAATAGATTCATTAATTGTTATTTTGTAGTAATGTTATCCAGTTTAATCATATTTCTCAGACTCACTGATTTCTTTTTGTGTTATGAAAATTAATGAAAGCATTTTTAAATTGATTAATTCTATGTCTTAGCCATATTTGGTATTGTAGGAGTACAAAATATTAAGACATCAACTCTATAGTCCCTCTAATACATGAGCAACTATCAAGTGTAACTATATTAACAACAAACCTTTTCTTTAAGAGCTGACACTCACATTTCGTTTGCCTGACTTGTTCACTCTAACCAAAATGCTAATATCAGAATAATTTAATCATACAATATATATAATCATTTTCACATTTGGCCACATGTTTTTTAATCTTAATAAAATATTAGGATAAAAAACACATATAGGAAATTAAATATGAATAGATGAATAAATGACAGCCCTAATTTTTTATCTTAATAAAATATCTATATTATAATACTTCATTTTGTAACTGAACATTAAAAAAATTTGCATCAGTATAATACTGATTCAGTATAGACATATTAGTCGTAGGAATACTAAATAAAATTACCATTAGTATCGACAGGTTTGGGTGGAATGTTTAAGGAGGCGTTCGCTTGCGGCCCCTTGTTGTAGTCCTTGCGGATCTGTATCTCGATCTTCTTGGTCTCGGGCGGGCGGCGCGCGGGCGGCGGGGCGAGGGCCCGCGAGCGCGGCTGACACGTGTGCGTGTGCGACGCGAGCGCGGCGCGCCGCTCGAAACTCCTACCGCAGCCAAAGCAACGTGGAGTTTCGCCCTCACCTTCCATGTTGTCCATCCATGCCTGCAGCACACAGATCGGGATCACTTAATAAATGAATACCGTTGCCATCCTATGTACCTACTATAATATCCAGAATGTAAAGAATTTTGTGTTTTGTTTGAGCAACGATTCACACTAACTGTATATAGTATACTGCTACTATTAGATTTACCTGATTTTCTTGATCCAAACGTTCTTCTTCTGAGATTTTTTGAACAGGTGTAGGTTTCATGTTTTTACGTTTTTCGTAAAAAGCTGGAGGATTGTTCATTCTGAACGCCTTTGCTTGTATTGATTCACGTAGCTTTCTTATTTGAGCGGCAGTTTTTCTAGACGTAACATATTTTTGTTAGAATAGTTTTTCTTAGCGATAATAAAATTAGTATGCTCTAGCTATGTAATTAACTATCGTCTAAATATTTTCATTATATAATTTTCAAAATACAAACATGAGTACATAAAAACACTAGACAACTTATTTCATTTGGTGAGCCACAGCCCACCTGAAAATGGTAGACATAAGCATCACATATGTTACAAAATATACTGGCATATAGCCTACAAGCAGTTCCAAGCTCTAGAATGGTAGACGACTATACACTATTATATATATATACATGACTACTATTGCATTAGTACACACAATTTACAGGGCTCATATTTACCTATGCACTTTGAACAGATGTCGATAAACACTCCAGGATGTAGAGAATATTTCCAAACAATCAGGGCATGGATAAACCAGTCGACTTTCTAAATGTTTATATTTCATGTGGAACTTTAGAGTCTTCTGCGTAGAAAATTGTTGATCACCTATAAGTAAAGAAAATGTTTTATTCCAATTATAGATATTTATTCATTCAACTATATCAATGGCGGTATAGAACACTGTTCTACTTTTTTATGGTTGCAGGTTCAATCCTAGCTCAGTACCACCATTTGTATACATGAGACCGTTTTGGATAATTATTTAACGAAATTATGTATTTAAAAAAAAACACATTCCAGATACTAAAGTATGTATGTTTAGGTAAGTTAAATTGTGCTTGAAAAAATAATAACTAATTAAAAATATTAAACAAATTAAAATAGAAATTCACCCCTTATATTAAAAAAAGGTAGTAGGTAAAGTTACTTACCTAAATAAATATCCTAAATATATACTAATAATGTATGACATGATTTTCGGAAATTTATACGTAGAGTTTTATAATAATTAATATAATATATTTTATAATATAATATTCACACAATACATAAATAGATAATAAGATGCAACTATATATAATTTATTAATTTGTGATGTTAGACAGTGTATACAGTAATATCCATACTACTACACTATTACAATATAGGTGTACAGTATAAGACTTACAAATTTTGCATTTCAGAATACTATTAGTATCATTATCTTCATCATCACTTATTTGTATTACATTATCTGGATCTGTTGGGACAGCTATTTGAGTCTTGAATTTGCCATCTTTTTGTAGAATTGCATTATCCCTTGACAGAATTTCATCCAACTCATTTACCTGTACATGAAAATCAAGTATTGTATAAACATAAGTTTATCATAGTAATCGATAGACAAATCATTTAAATGGATGTTACCAATCACAAATAATATTTGGTAAGACATGAAAAATGTTCATCTTAATCAATGAGTATGTAGGTTAAGCTGTACTAGTACAAATATGAGATGTAAGTATTGAGTCTTAAAAATTAAAATTAATTATCTAATAAATAATAAATAAATGTATAATACGGACTTGGGCTCTCATTTTATCAAAGTTCTTTTCTTCAGAATAGTCTATACTTTGGAATACAGCAACAGAACTCCCAGCAATTTTCTGTAACACTACATTTTGATCTAATTTATTCTGACGGATTCCCTTATTCTTAGTAATTTTCTCCATAATAGTAGTTAAATCCTTTGTCAAAGGTATTCTGTCCTCATATTCCACAGTCTCCATATCCATATTTTCTGTCCCATTTTTTTCTTTCAATGACTGTTGGTATCCTTCCTCCAAACGTTTAATTTTTAATATTTCGTTAACCTTTGAAAAAATAAGTATATTATATGTATATAGTATGGAATACAGTATACATTTCCTGTTTTACTGAATTATAATTAATTTTTCCTTCAATAAATTTTATGTGAATATTCACTATTATTATATCTTAAATATTCTCTATTTAGTTGGCAATAAATAAAGGTGACATTTGTTTATTTTGCCTTAAAAAGTTATAGTATATTACCAGTAATTAACAAGTATCAAATAATCAAACTTACTGTGGAGATAGGGTTGACAAATTGGCTGTGTTGAGAAGAATTAAATGTTTCTTTACAGTAAATACGTTTATGGGATATAAAATTTGCCAAACTTCTAAATATGTTACGGCATACTTTACATTCATACAGTATATCACATTCAGAAGAAAGCAAATTTTTCAGCTGAAAAAAGTAAATAGAGATTAATATAAAAATAAAGACCTACAGGTAGAATACCTGTAAGTGTAATAGGTATTAATTTGTGAATAAGTCTACCAATTATATACTTAACTGACATTGTAATAACAATGTAAATAATAAAATAATAATAATAAATAATGAATATTTCTATTTTAAATTTTGGTAATGGGTAAATTAACTCACTTCTTCAGTAGCACAGTCAAATATTTTTCTGGCCTGGGCTAGGCCTGTAATACTTGTATGTATTGGTTTCCTTAATACTGAAAAATCAATATCTTCACTTTCTTCATTACATTGATTTATGGGTTTATTAAATTTGCCTTTATCATCTTTACCTTTACCCTTTGTATTCATTTTATTGCCAGCCATTCTGACATCTATCAAGAAAAAAATACATTTAAGTAGGTACCAGCTTGGTAGTATTCACTAATATTTCTTTTTATTACTTATTATACATATTAACAAGAAACAACGTAAGTGTAATTTACATGGTAATATTTCTATTTCAATGTATGTACCTACTACAGATTTGGTTAAAGCTGGTTAAGTTGGTTTGCAATGAGGTAATATTTGAAATCCATAACATGTACTTTCAATACTATATTTATAAAAACTTCAATTAATATAGTACAAATTTATCGTCTGCTCAGATTTATCTAAAAATTCATTGAAATTGCTCATATATCGAGCATGGTCACAACATAAAGTGTCTGATACCTACAAAGATTAGGTCGTAGTCTCTCCCTTAAATTTTAGCAATAAGGTACAGATTATGAATACAAAGTGATGAAAAAGAAACATTATGTTATCTCCCACAATCGATACACATATACAAATTCATTTTCTTACCTGGAAATACTCGGAATAGACAACATGAAATTCCTGCTTTTCCGACAAATGCACTTCCATCACGCCTCCATTTTCAACAAATGAATATCTATGTAGGTATCTATAGTTATAGGACTAATACGTAACAGTTCTGTAGACAGAGAATTTCAACAATAGTAACTGGCATGTGGTTTTGAACCATATAAAACGGTAAAACTAATTTAAATCTTATTGATACTGAATAAAGTTAATTTTTATTCAGTCTTCACAAGAAAGAAATGAATGCCATCGAGATCTTTTGATAAGTGATTCTATCTCTTTCACACAGTTTACCAGTTATAAATGACATTAGTATGGTAAATGTAAAAATTTAGAAGTATATAACTAAAAACTGTGATACATTATAAAGAATAAATTGTTATGTATATACATCGATAATTATTAAATTGATTTTCGAAGTTGATAAATATTTTTATAAATAAAATGTTTCAAAAAAGTCGGGTTTACATTAAATTGTAATAGCTTTTTCTTTTCATACAATTAAGCTAGGTATGCTCCATACTAGAAAACACAAAACATCGATGATGATGATGATGGTGAATCGATGTGCAGAATGACAAATTGGTGAACTGCCATTGTTTTCGCTGTTCCCTCTGGAAGCACTCATGATAAATTTCTGGTGAATTTGTTATGATGGACTCTCATGTTCATCTTATCATCCTCCACTGCTGCTCCGCCAGCGTAAATCATAAGTGCAGCATTATTTATCATCTATTAAAAAAATAGTGATGTCATAAAACATTCCCTTCCCCTCACATTACCTTTGTTATATTTGAATGTATCATTTTGCTTTTCAAAGAACCATTTTTTTTGTGATCGAGTATGGAGTACATCGCATTTTAATCATCATTATAATGTTATATGACTGCATTTCCTATGACTTTCTTATAAACTTTACGGTTTACGATACTTCCTCTGTTATTTACTCTTTGAGTTCTTGTTTTATATAATGTTTTTTTTCTCTTCTTTTAGCTTCGGCGATTTATATAATGTTAAAAAGGACTTAAGAAAATATTAAAAATGTCGATGTTTTTCCAGTAAACATCGATAACATCTGATGAATATCGATATTCTTACTACAGTTTTTCGGTTTCGTGAATTTTGTAGATTTTTGATAAACTTAACATTAATAAATACAATTAAATTCTAGCTTAATTTACTCAAATACGGTTTCAGTAGCAGTTTAATAAACAGGTAATGTGTTTGTGCAAGCTACAATTCAAGTAATATTGTAATTTTCTGGTCCCGTGTTTATTTAAATATTTCTTATTTTTTGCGTATAACTATGCACTAAGTTATGACAATTATTATTTTCTAGCACCTAATAATTGCCGTAAACTGATAAAAACTTTATTATTCTTGCTGTATTTTATTTTAACAATACTGTTAATAACCGGCATAAATTACAATATCAGTATATTAAAGAAACTAAGAATATGACTCTTATTCTCTATTAGGTGATTAAAATTAAATGGCTATAAAACTTAATATAGGAAATTACATTATTTTCTATATTGAATTTTATAGCATTAGAAAGTAATTACTGAAATTACTGTGAAGAAAAAGTTGTTTTTGCAATAATGTACTATATCATTAATCTTTATACAACCTTAACTTTAAAAAATAATATACAATTATATATTTTATAGAATGACAACTGGTGAAACCCTAACATCAGATTATCAGCAGCGAAGATGGCAAAATATAAGGAAACTCCTAGAGAGACCTGGTCCATTTTGTCACCCTGACTTTGAGCCTTCTGCTGAAATACTAGATTTTATTATGAATTCCTGTAAAATACTTGTGGTTGGAGCTGGAGGACTTGGCTGTGAGCTGTTGAAAGACCTTGCATTAATGGGTTTCAAAAAGATTCACATAGTGGATATGGACACCATAGAATTATCAAACTTGAACAGACAATTTTTGTTTAGAAAATCCGATATAGGTTCATCAAAGGCAAAATGTGCAGTTGAATTTGTTAATAAGAGGTGTGTAATTTTAAAATTGATTATAATTTAAATACAGGGAGATGCTCCAAGCAATATTATTTGTTTCTTGTTTATCTTTATATATAGTGTATAAACCAAAGTAACTGTGCATATCTTTTAAATTACACAACAGAGGTTAATACAGTTTTCAGCTATAGATAAAATGATATAAGGGGAAGGTTTATATGTTTATATATAATGCATGTGTGTTAACATATAGAACAACACAAGAAATTATCCCAGAGAAGCTAACCATGTTGCTAGTTAATTATAGAGATTAATAGAGAATTCTTTTTTTGCAATTCATAGAGTGCCTGGTTGTGAAGCTGTAGCCCATCATTGTTCTATCCAAGAATTTGATGATGGTTTCTACAGACAGTTTCACATAGTTGTATGTGGTCTGGATTCCATAGTAGCAAGACGTTGGCTTAATGGCATGCTTATGTCATTACTGCAATATAATGATGATAGTGAGTAATAATATTTATACCCATTTAGTTGAATAAATTAACAGTCTAAATATAAATATGTAATGTATTACTAAAGAATTTACCATATAAAAACCATTTAATGTCGAAATAGACATTCATACAGTGTGTATTTTAATGTACAATAGAAATTAGAAAAAAGTGATTATTAATTTACCAAAATTACCATTTACTTTAAAAAAGCTAAAAGTAACTGCCACGCAACATACTGTAGTGTAGCTATATACCGAAACTCTGTTTTTCAGAATTGTAATTAATATACTACTTTGTGACATATACTCCTCTAACTACACTAATCCTCTGTTTTATTATATTAATACATAACATCTTTTATGTTTAGTCTCAAAAAATCGTAATGATTAAGACAAAACTATACATAGAAATTGTAAAATTACTATGTTATTGAAAGTGGGGAGTGGATATCTAAGATTTTTCTGTAATACATCTTGTTACAGGGTCATTGGATCAAAGCAGTGTCATACCACTTGTGGATGGTGGCACTGAAGGTTTCAAAGGCAATGCTCGAGTTATATTACCTGGCATGAGTGCTTGTATAGAGTGTACATTGGACTTGTATCCACCTCAAAAGACTTTTCCACTATGCACTATTGCTAATACACCACGGTAATTTTAACCAAATATTTATGTACTATAACAAAAAAAAATTATTAACAGAAGTAAAATGAAATAAATTTTTTCTGTTAATAATTAATTTTATTTTAGATTACATTGATCTATGTTTTATATGATTACAATGGTAAACAAGCTAATGGAAAGTGATAACTGTCACCTATAGGTACATGAAAATTATCTCATCATATGAGACCTATGCCACTGTCATGTGTTGCTATTGATGAGGCCTAAGGAGTCATGCCTTCATCAGTTATCATTACACTGCCATTATCATACCATGCATACTGAAACAGTATACAAAGCAAGCAGCTTGGCGCCAAAAATAGATAAGTAAGACTTTGAATATGGCATAACGAGAGTCACATGGTAATGTGATGTTCATAGGCTGTTCACATTATGTGCATATTATGTGCTGGTTACGTTTTACTATCACATAGGCCATACATTACTACTACCAAATGTAGTATTTTTATTATTATCTAGAATCTTGTGAGGCATCAGTAAAATTTAATCTAATATCATAAATCTGAAAGAACATCCTTTATGCCTATCTTTTACATTTTTATGTTAAATCCATTACTTATCAAATTTTGTTTAGAGACACTTTTGGATCTAGGAGTATTATTTTCAAGAGTCATTTTTAATCTCTAATTTTTGTCATAAGATTTTCAATCCTCGTATGTGTGTCAAGCATTTTAGGCGCCCACTTTTTAGAAATAATCCCATTAAAATATATTATATATTTATTCATGTAGGTCTATTACAGACTCTTATGATATGTCAAATCTACCGTCAGTTTGGAGTGTTTTCGCTAAGAAGACCTGATAAGAAATTCAGCTATAAATTATAACCTTTGTCAAACATCAAAAGTAATAATTTAATTAGTAGCAGAAGACCTGATCAGATCAGTCCCTGCAAGTAGCATTCAGGAGTATAATGAATATTTTATTTTTAGGTTACCAGAGCATTGTATTGAATATGTGAAAGTTTTGCAATGGGCTAAAGAAAATCCATGGGGTGAGACAACACAGCTTGATGGCGACGACCCCCAACATGTAGCTTGGGTGTTGGAGAAAGCACAAGAGAGGGCACTCAAATATGGAATTACAAATGTTACATATAGACTAACACAAGGTGTACTGAAAAACATTATTCCTGCTGTAGCCAGTACTAACGCTACAATTGCTGCTGCTTGTGCTACAGAGGTATTAAAGAATGCTTAATTACTTTTATATTATAAAATATTTAAAAAGAATACTGTTCCTTGAGACCATTGTTATAGTTATTTAATTTAAATGTAAAATGCAGATTTTGATTTCAGTCATCCCAATTTTTTTTTGATTAATTATCAAAGTACTATCACTAAATTGGGCACATTTTTCTCATCGCATTGTCGCATGTAAGCATTATATTTCTACTTAATTATTCAGGTATTCAAGTTGGCTTCATCATGCTGCATAAATATGAACAACTATATGGTGTTAAATATGGCTGATGGTGTATATTCATATACATTTCCGGCTGAGCGGCGTACTGATTGCGTAGCGTGTAGTAATACTACACGTGTAATGGAAATAGAAGCAGACGCCACACTCCAAATGATTTATGATAAACTCTGTGAAGATCAAGCTTTCTTAATGAAAAGTCCAGGTATGTGTTGAATTATTTATTTATTAAAGATATACTTCTTCCACGCGAATAATACCGCCAATACACCTATATATGTATGTTTCTTGCCTATAAACAATAAGAGGAAGTATGAAAATCAATAAGAATTAACTTATGTAAGATTTTTGAAATATATATTTTATTTTATGCAACTAATCATGAAATTTTATATTTAATTATTTAATATTTATTTAGCGATATGAAACATTACCCACATATAATTGTGTTTCAGGTATTACTACTGTAATTAATGGTCGCAACAAAACATTGTATATGTCCTCAATTAAGAGCATTGAAGAGAGAACGAGGGATAATTTAAAGAAGAAAATAACTGAGCTAGGTCTTTATAATGGTGGTGATATATTGGTAGCTGACATAACAACTCCAAATACCATTACTATAAAATTAAAATTTGCTGAAAATTTTGATGTAGATATGTCACGGTAAATAAAATTAAAATCTCAACCTACTGATATTTTATTGAACTTGAAAGTGTTTTTTAATAAAAATAGAATTTATATGTACAATGTTTTGGATTAGTATTTTTTGCTATATAGTCGAACAATCTTTCAAGTATCAGACATAGTTCAACACAAACGTCTTTATTCTTGAAATACAAAACTTTGACTACCGGCCTGCCAAGTAACTACTTTGACTAAATTGTAAACGTGTAATAAAATTTAACGTGAAGATAATTTGATCATGAAGGTGAATACAGATTGTTAAAAACAAAATAAACCGTCGCGGGTAACATCTGCGGATAAACAGCTACTGAAAATCTCGTCTATGTTTTTTCTACTTTAATAGGTATGTTGACCTAAATAAAAAAAAAATGAAATCTAGGTACTGGTTTCCAATATCACAAAAAAACCAAGAAATCTAGGTGAAATTGCCTGAAAAGTTAATTCGCTTATTAAAGACATCAAAAATAACGATGGTTGTCAAAGGGAACTGCTTGGAGGTCTACTACTACTAGCTATTCTCTCCCCCTTCTATAGACAGATACATTTATAGATGAAATTCGTCACACAGAATAGTATTATTCTTCCTATTTTTCTTGTTTCGGTTTTCTTATTTCAGGGGGAAAAATACTTATATCCACTAAGGAAGTACTATTAAATAAATATCAAATGATTCGACCTATACAGCTATTGTCTTCGGTTTCCTCTATGTAAGTTCCTAATAATTAAATAAGGATGAAATAATTATTTATGACAAAAATTTAATGGTTTTTATTGATAATATATGTAAAAATGTAGTGAAATATCAGCTACACAACAAATTTTAATTAATCGATTGTAACAAATGTGTTTTAGCTTAGCGGAGCTTAGATGCTTTAAGTTAGTTTTAAGACTCCCATATAATACCTTTCCGTAAGTAAGTAATCACTACGTTGTTATGATAATAATTGCAAATACCTCGCTATTTGCCTAAGGATTGTTTCTTATTCGGTCATAGTAGCCTACCAGAAACTATGATACAAAATAATGTTAGTTGAAGTATAAAATGACAATATTATGTTTACTTAGTTTATAATTGGGTTTGTGATTTAAAAAATGCTAACGTTACGTTGACTTGTGACTGTATTAAAAATAAACATACTTTTTAAAAATACAAACATTTATTAGATAAGGTTAATGTAGATAAATATAAATCGTCACAGCATTGCACATAATTTATAATCAAAGCATAACTAAATAGAAAATAGCATCCAAGTTAGAACTCTAAAAAATATTAAAAAAAAAATACAACTGACGTGTTTGTTGAGAGTTGAGTGACAAGTGGACGAACGAGTTTACAACTCAACACACGAATTCACACGAATTTGTCCGTCTGAAAACGTTTTTCCACATTAAGCAATACGGTTAACTATTAATTTAATATTTTATTATTCCTGAGAAACACATTAAAAAATAAAGATGTTGGACAGTTTATTTGATGATGTGAAGCGCATGAACAAAAGACAGGTAATAAACGCAAAATTTTTCAGATGACGTTACCAGTGCCAACCGGTAGTATTTCATACTTTCATCTAATTCAATTTCAGTTTATCTACCAAGTTTTAAGTTTTGGTATGATAGTGTCGTCAGCATTGATGATATGGAAGGGTCTAATGGTGGTAACTGGCAGTGAAAGTCCGATAGTTGTTGTACTATCTGGTAGTATGGAACCAGCTTTTCACAGAGGCGATCTATTGTTTTTGACCAATTACCCGGAGGAACCCGTACGTGTCGGTGAAATTGTAGTCTTTAAAGTAGAGGGACGAGATATCCCGATAGTCCACAGAGTTTTAAAACTTCATGAAAAGTGAGTACATTGTTTATTTTTATTGGTATTGTGGTTAATTGATATAATATCAGTGTATTAAGAATATTTTCTTTGTTGTAGCAGACTCATAATACATCGCCTCTATGATGTAAGTGGTGATTAGGATAACCAGGCAGGTGCAAGAAATAGAAACTTTCAAAATAAAACCTTTATCAATGCACTTGGCTACCATAATATTAGTTGTTAAGTTCACATTGGGTAGAGAGACAAGATCTCTTGGTAGTATAGTTTTGATTTTAGTATTTTCTTTATTATCAATAAACTAGAAACCCATGTCAACTTTACATGGGTTGAACAATATACTTACATAGTAAAGCCTAGGTTCCAATGGAATAATGGTCACTAAATTAATTTTTAATTTGGTTGGTCACATGCTGTCCATTTCCATGAAGATTATAGGCCAAAGGGAGTTGTGAACCGCTGCTGCTATGGGAGGTTGAAATAGTGATTGTGGTGACCAAAAATTCTATAAGAATATTTTATTTTATGTTTTATTATTTTCTATGTATGTTGTATATGTAGGTTAAGTTGCCTGAAATAAATAAATTATAAAAAAATTGGTTCCAGAGATTAACCTTCATATACACATAAATAAATGTATATTTAAGTAACATAAATAAATAAAAATATTTCTGATATGAATTTTTAAAGAACTGACTATTAGATGTAAAACTTTATTAAACTTATATCATTAATTAGTTAAATATTTTCCATTTTACAGAAACAATGGGACAGTAAAATTTCTTACCAAAGGTGATAACAATAGTGTTGATGATCGAGGTTTATATGCACAAGGACAATTATGGTTGACAAAGAAGGATGTAGTAGGTCGTGCACGAGGCTTTTTACCTTATGTAGGAATGGTCACAATTTACATGAATGAATATCCAAAGTTTAAGGTAATTATATCTATTCAATGGTAAATTATTTATGTGGTTAATAGAATTAGGATAATGTCTTAGTTAATGCTTAATTATGTTAATGTTTAATGCTGAATTGTAAATAAAATAGGTACATATTACAAGTACCATGTAGTGGATGGATATAATGGGGGTTGTTATTATTACCCTCTAAGAATAGTGAGGATTTTTATTTTGTGACATTGCTACCATTTGCTCTTAATAATACACATAAATGAATACTCTGTCCAGAAAAAGAAAAATTGGGCTACTAATTATATTATTGTTATTGTACAAAATTTTATACAATATATCTGGATTCATGAAAAAGTGAATATATAATATTCACACCCACTCTTATGCAGTGGAATTTTAGAATAAGGAAAATAAATAATTGATTGTTGAAATTGAAATGTAGTATGCAGACAGTATTTTAATATTTTCTTGCACTGAAGTGACCTGCCAAATAAAACTAAATCACTCACACTAGGTCTATTGAAATATTTAGGCATACATAGTGTTGGATTACAATTCAGTTTTGTAACTAATTATATGCTTATAAATAAATTCTTGTATTGACTGTAATCTGTTTTGTGTGATAAAAAAATAGCATATTTCTTTAATAATATATATGTAACTAAAATAGTAGCATCTATTTTTATTCACCCTTGGCTCAAACTAGAGAAGCAGCAATTATATATTATATATATATCTTCTTTGTTCCTTCACAACAAAAAATAAGTAATAACTTAATTTGGTAAGGCAAGATAAAGTGTTGCAAGTGTTAAACATCTCAGATGTTTCAATTTCTAATATAAACACATTTTTAAATTATTCATATTTTGAATAAAATTTAGGGTAATTTATTCTTTCTGCATACTACTTCCTTTTTTTGTGTATTTCTTTTTATTATTTTCTATCTCACACACATTATTTTTCTTTTGCAGTTTGCAGTATTAGCATGTCTAGCAATATATGTGTTAGTGCACAGGGAGTGACATTATTATCTGATCTGATGTGTTGTTGGAGACGAAGACAGACTGTGGGAGAATCACATGGGTTCAGTGAATGTGATTTAATTTTATGATTAAATGAGGTTTCTCTAGTGTATAATATATTTGTTTTATGTCTCATGTGGTTGTTTAATTCAAAGGAAAATTGGTTTCTCTGTTTTGATGTACATAAGTAAGTATGAAATCTAAAAATATGTCACAAGTATGAATTAAAGTTACTCTTCTGTGTCAACATAAAGTAATTGTCTCCCATATAATATTAAAAACGATAGTATAGAATTGGATAATCATTCAGGTTATAGAAGGGAATACCTAGGAACCTATAATCAATGAGTAGGAGGCTATCTACTAATTAAATTTTAATTTCAATTCAACCCATCTTTACATCTTTACATTTACATTTAGTACATATTAGTACCTCCGTGTAACGCTTATTAAGTTTATTGAATACTATTGTGTATGTATTTGTGAATTTATTTTCATAATAAAATGAGTTTTATCTAAATAGTAATAATGGCAGATAAGATAAATTATTTTACAGCTATGAACGCTGGTGGTCAAACATTTTTTATCCTTAATACATAACTTAATCTTCCAGAAGATTAACTATATTATCTAGATATTGTCGGTTGTAGATAAGACAGTGATCTTAAGTGCAGGGTAATTTCTTGTCCGACCACCTTACACACCATTACCTTTATTATATGTAGTTAAGAATGAATATTTCATGTATCAAGCCATCCAATAATAATGTCATATCTTAAATTCTTAAATAAATGGTCAATAATCAATAAATTAAAGTTGTAGAGTGCTGTTAGGAAATTATTATATACCTAACAATAATTTACCCGGGGTTTAGTACTTATGATTGCGACAATTGATTGACTGAGATAAAAGCATCTACTCCTTTCAATCACAAATATTACTTATGTGTGGGCAAACATAACAATTAGTTTAGCCTGCAAGAATAAGACTAATTATAGTAAATTCAAACGAAATTCATTGTAAAATTTATGTAGTCTTGTAATAAGTATTCATTGGAATTATTATTGTGAAATTTTCCTTAAATATTAATTGTATTGGTACTTGATGTGTTAAGTATTGCATATACTATTATATTTCTCTGTTGTACGACGAAGCTGTACGACCACACGTAGTTGTTCAGCCCGATTGGGCCGCTCGAACCGGGAAATACCACACCACGGCAGAAAACCGGCGTTAAGCGTTATCGCGTTTCGCATGGTGAGCTGTGGGTTCCGGATGCCCCTTCCCCTCCCCCTATCCCTTTCCTACTTCCTTCCCCTCCCCCTCCCCTTTCTTACATACCAGGGCAGCGGAATATAAGAGATTTTTACCCCAGGGTGGTACCAGTAACTGTGTTACTGGAGAATCCACCTCTGAGATATCACACTCAGGCTGCCCTGCGTATTCTGGGGTGGGCAATACTCCGCTCAATTTGGCCAACAGGAAACCGAGCAAATCTCCATCGGCATTTCCCTTGCTCAGAGTCAGTTTTTGCAACATCAGGGGAATTCATTCCAATCTCAACGCCGTCCACCACCACCTACCAGACACGGCGAGGCCGGCTTTGTTCTTCCTTACGGAGACGCAAATATCCTGTCCCGACGAAATGTCGTATGACTTACCCTGGATATAAATTGGAACACCATTTTATTCCACGGGCCGGTGTGTGCACTTATGTCAGAGAGGATATTTGCTGTCGCCGTCTTGGTACACTTGAAGGTACTGACCTGTCCATTTTATGGTTGCGTGTAGATTGCGATGACCACCCCCGCATCTATGCATGCTTATACAGGTCCCATAGCGGTAACACCGAAACTGACCGACTCATTGAACACGTCCAAATGGCTAAAATCCTTTTTTGCTCCAACAGATTCCCTCCGCTGAGGTCGTGATTCTAGGTGACTTTAATGCCCATCACGCTGAATGACTCGGTTCACGTACCACCGACTATGCGGGGAGATCTGTTCATGGCTTTGCTTTGGCATATGGTTTGACGCAATTGGTATCCTCGCCTACGCGAATTCCTGATGTTGTTGACCATATACCTTCACTGTTGTACCTTCTGCTGACTTCTCATCCGAACGGATATCAGATCTCTATGGAAGCTCCACCTGAGATCCTCTGATCATTGTCTGATACAGAGCGAAGTGCCTCTCACGCGTCCTTCTTTGCCGCGATCTACTGGTCGACGTCGTGTTTGGCATTTTTAGTCGGCAGATTGGGATGTGATGCGAAGTTTTTTTGCATCTTACCCATGGGGGCGAGTTTGCTTCGCACTGGACGATCCTGATGTAATAGCTGAATCTGTCACCGATGTAGTACTTCAGGGAAAGGAGATGTTTATTCCAAATTCCCAGGTACCTGTCGGTAGTAGTATGGCGGATCCTGTAGATCGACGTCTCGCCATAAGCAGGAATGCTTCCGTGCCTGGATTGCAGCTGTGAAGTCGAGTGATCCAGATACCAGTGCCCATAAAAGGAAGTATAACTCCGCTTCCAGGTCCTTCAAAAGAGTTATAGCCACAGCAAAGTCGGAGCACATCAGCAGAATTGGTAAGAGACTAAACAGTCTTCCATCTGGATCCCGGGCTTTTTGGTCTCTTGCCAAAGCTGCTCAGGGAAATTTCTGTCAGCCATCTTTTCCACCACTGCGCAGAGAGGATAACTCGTTGGCCCAACATGCTAAAGAGAAGGCCGATCTCCTTGGGCCTCTTTTTAGCAATCACCGCCGGTCATCTCGCGGTGTGAGACTTTTATGCCAGAGGTAAAATTTACCCAAAAGCTGGTACGTAAGTCTCTTTTCTCCCTTGATATCCACAAGTTGAGTGGGCCTGACGGTATTCCTGCTATTGTGCTCAGGATGTGTGCACCTGAGTTGGCTCCGGTACTAACGCGTCTTTTCCGGTACTGCTACTCTACAGGTGTAGTCCCGAAACTTTGGAAGACGGCTTTGGTTCATCCGATCCCTAAGGGAGATCGCTCAGATCCAGCTAACTATAGGCCCATAGCCATCACCTCCTTATTCTCAAAGACCATGGAGTCGATTGTCAACCGTCAACTCCTACGATACCTAGAAGTGAACCAGTTGATTTCTGATCGTCAGTATGGCTTTCGCCAGGGTCGCTCAGCTGGTGATCTTCTAGTGTATTTGACACATCGATGGGCAGAGGCTATTGAGAGTAAGGGGGAGGCCCTATCTGTTAGTCTGGATATTGCGAAGGCCTTTGATCGGGTTTGGCACAAAGCTCTTCTCTCAAAGCTACCATCCTTCGGGTTACCTGCGAAGTTATGCAAATGGGTAGCTGATCGGAGCATCAAGGTCGTTGTGGATGGTGCTTGCTCCGACCCACACTCTGTGAATGCTGGTGTTCCACAAGGCTGTGTGCTGTCTCCGACTATGGTCCTTCTGCATATCAATGACATGTTACAAATCAACAACATTCATTGCTATGCTGATGACAGTACCGGAGATGCCTTGTACAGCGGTCATGCTAATATGTCGCAGGCAAAAGTTATAGATTACCGGAACAAACTTGTGTCCGAAATCGAAACTTCACTCCATCAAGTTTCGGTCTGGGGTCAGGAAAATTGTGTTCAATTCAACCCCAAGAAGACACAAGTTTGCGCGTTTACCGCTAAAAAGAATCCATTTATCGTATCTCCTCAGTTTCAAGACACTCTCCTTGATGTGAAGCCAAATCTCGAGGTCCTTGGCGTTGATATATCCAGTGAAGTTCAGTTTTGCGGTCATTTGGAGGACTAGGCTAAAATAGCCTCAAAAAAGCTTGGTGTGCTCAGTAGAGTGAGACGGTATTTCACGGCGGCCCATCGCTTGGAATTATACAAGGCGCAGATCCGGCCGCACATGGAATACTGATCTCATCTCTGGCCGGGAGCACCACAATACCAGCTACTTTCATTTGACCGCATTCAGAACCGAGCAGCCAGAATCATTGGTAATCACGCCGCAAAGCCAATGGGCTTTGCGGCGTGATATTGCATCTCTGTACATTTTCTACCGCATATATCACGGGGAGTGTTCTGAGGAATTGCTCGGATTAATACCAGCTGCTGAATTTCACCACCGTACCACCCGCCAGAAACTGAAATACCATCCTGATCATCTGGATGAATGGCGGTCTTCCACAGGTTTTCTAGAAACTTTTTGTGCAATGGTATTTCCGAACCGATACGATATTGAAACCTTCAAGAAAAGAGCTTATTCCTTTTTAAAAGGCCGACAACGTACTTGCAGTTCCCCTGGTGTTGCGGGTATTCATGGGCGGAGGTAATCACTCACCATCAGGTGAGCCGCATGGTCGTTTGTCCCCTGTGTTATAAAAAAAAAATACAGCATATACCTATATACCTATAAATAAAGAGCCTGTTAACGTCACTAGCAATGAATAATGATAACATTTTCTGATATGACCTTGCTGAATAATATGAAAACCATAGGCATGTTTATGTATTTCTATCATGGAGCGATGAGTGATTTCGTTATGTTAAAGGTTAAAAAAATTGATTAAGTATAATAATGAAAGCCCATTATTTCATGAAATGATTGACGAACCTTGATCTTCCAATATTTTCGTAATTCTACTGAAATAAACTTAAAATAACAGACCAAAAGATATTCACTTTTAAAGTCTATTATCTGTCATTAGGTACTAACATTTAATGAATATGATACATTTTCGTAATTATACTCCACGTCAAGATCTCGTAGTGTACGGTAAATTCGTAATCATACAGGGTGATATAGGTAGGGTAAAAATAATTCACATAAATTACAATTCCGAAAATAAATTTTTAGCTTCTCATACTAAATTGGTCAAGAGACCACGCTTTATGAAGCTTTTGAAAAATATTTAATTTTGTTCACTTTGATTATTTGTGGTAATTCACAAGGAATTAGTCACGACGTTTTTTACGGAGGGGGGGGGGGGGTATATTGCTAATCAATGAGAAGTCTTATTAATCTCCTCTTCCCTATATTGTTGTTCGTCGAGTACATAAACTTCGAATTAGTGCCATTGAATTAAAAACGGATTTATTATACAAGAGTTACCCGGTCAATAGCCAGAAAGGCGGAAT